CAAGCGAGAGCAGCACCTGCAGCGATTGGAGGAGGAGGAGGAGCACCAGCATCAGCAGCAGGAGCTGGAACAGGCAGAGGAACGCGAGCAGGAAGAGGCGGAGCAGCAGTTGCCCAACTTGGGGCAGTCTCTGCTGCACGATTGGGATGACAGTGCCACGCAATTGCCGGACGAGATCGAGGAGGAGGAGGAGGAGGAGGACGAGGGGCAGGAAATGGATCCTGCATTGCAGCAGAATGGCCACCTGACCACCGTGCTCGAGGATGTGGTGGTTATGCCACCTGCCCCAGAGCCGGAGATGGCGCCCACGCCCTGCTTCGATGGTTTGCTTGACAGCGAGGAGACCAACGCCTCCACCAAGGCCACCAAGACCAATACGCCCACATATCAGAGCTCCACGCCCTCGCCGCTGCAAATGCAGCTGTGCCCCAAGACGGGTCTGTTTCTGCCCAAAGGAGATCTTGCCCTGGTCCAGCTCCCCGAGGAGGATGTCCTGCAGGTGGAGGAGGAGGAGGACAAGCCACTGAGTGGAAACGACCCGGTGGAGTGTTTCGATGCCAATACCAAGAATCTGAAGGATCTGCTGGACGATGCCGATGATCTGCTACAGAATTGCAGCAGTGACAATGGCAGCAGTGGAGCCGATCTGCTCGATTCGCTGGTTAAGCGCAGTTGCGAAGATAATCTCGTCCAGGAGGCGAGCACTGGCAGCGGGAACAATCCGCAAAACTCCTCATCCTCCGGCGACGAACTGAGTTCCTTCTGTGTGCCCGATCTCGACAAGGACCTGCCCAGCATTCTCAACATGGACAACGATGATGCGCCCAAGTGTCTGTCCTTCAATGAAGCGGGTGAGATCGAGGGCCTGAACGGGGAGCTCTTCCTGGGCATTGAGGCCTTTGAGAAGCAACAGGAAGCTGTGGCCACGGATCCGGAGCCCCAGCCGCCAACTCCGGCGACCGTTGAACTGACCCAAACGCCTACGCCCACACCCACGCCCGAGAAGGAGAAGGATAAATCCTCCGCAGTCGATGAGACGCCCAAGGATCTGAGCTACAAGAAGCGCGAGGAGGTGTGTCCCCCATCCGAGTCGCGCAGTCAGTGTGCGGTGACCTCCAGTTCGGATATACTCAAGTCCCCGGATCGGGATCTCCAGGTGCCGGCCAACTCCATACCTGCCGAGGTGGAGACCACCTCGGAAACCATTAAAAATCTCATACTAGAGCAGTTCCTTAAGCTGAACAACAATCCCCAACAGGCAGAGCCTATGGATCTGGGCAAAGCTGGGCGGGATGGTAAACTCGAAACGGTCGTCATCGACGACGAGGAGGAGGAGGAGTCCAGTCAGCCGCTGAAGAAGCGTCCCAAGGCCAGCATCAAGATGGACAAGGATCCCGACGCACTCACCCAACTGAAGATGCTGATCAGCAATCCGCAGTGGAAGGTCCCAGACCCGATACTCGTGCCAAAGGATCGCCTCGGAGCGGTGCTGGCCTCTCCGGCCCGAGAGATTCCATTGCTGCTAACGACCAGGCCGGAATTACGTCTTCCCGAGGCCTTTGCCTATCCGGAGATTATCCAGAATCCCAATATTTTGGTCGTGACCATGGAGCAGCTGGAGGCCATCCTCAAAACGGAATCGGAGCAGGCAAACAAGGTGACGAAAGACCCGGATCCAGTGATCGTGGTGCCAAGCAAACCGAGGAGTCCCAGTCCAAAGCAGACACAGCCCAAACCAGTGCTTGTTCAACCCAATCCGCAGCCAGCTGCTCCGGTGGCGCCCACACTGCCCTCGCCGGCGGATTCCAGTCTCTCCACGGATCTGAATGCCACTACGCTGGCGCTGCTCCAACAGATGCTGTGGCTACCCTACTTTGGCCAGTTGTCACAGGAGCTCTTCAAGACCATCAAAGATCCGCTGGGACTGCAAAGGAAGTTCATGAGCAATCTGCTGCCTCTGTACAACAGCCAGTTTGGGCTTCAGCATCTGGACGAGCTGTACAAGCAGTGTATGAAACAAAAGCCAGCGGAGGAGCAGCCGCAGCCCAAGGTGCCCACTCCAGTGCCTCCTCCGGTGGCAGTGCCTCCACCTCCTACCCAAAGTACAGCGAGCGGATCGAATGCTTTTAATGGCTTCACCAATCCCGTAGAGCTGGCCCTCATGCAAAAGCTGCTGCAACCGCAATTGCCGCAGTTCCTCAACTGGGAGGCAGCCAAGGAGGCCTCATCTTCCTTATCCTCTGCCGCTGCCTCCTCCCATCATCATCACCAGGAGCACAAGCGACCAAGAAGGGAAACCGAAACGGAGGCCATTGGCAATCTGACCAAATCCAAGCCTGCTTCCGGTGTTCCAAGTACATCTGCTGTTCCACCCGCCGTTGCGCCTGCCCCGGTGGCCACCACTACGCCTGCGGCACCAGCGCCGGCGGAGCACAAACCCAGACTGACCATCAAATCGCTCTCGAACCTGCTGGAACCCGAGGCGAATGTGGTACCCCTTCTCAACGTGCCCTTCGACGGAATGCGAGGGCGTCCTTCCATGCACAAGGCCATGCCAGATCAGGCCAAGGGTGACGCAGGAACGGGACGCACCCTACGCTCTAGCAAAGCCTGCGTCACCTATAATCCTCTGGAGCAGGCCAAGCAGCAGATGCACCCAGCCGCCGGCTCCCAGCAGCAACGGAAGCGGGGCAACATGCTCGCCCAGGATGTCCAACAGCAGCAGCAGCAGCAGCAACATCTGGCGGATGCGGCGGCGGCAGCCGGAATGGATGCCAACTCAGCGCTGTGGCATCCTCTTTTCGGAAGGTGAGCATTTTTATATAGAATACCTCAATAAGGAGGTAGAATTGGGTATTAAATGTATCTACAGGCTTTTTATTTATTCAATTTTCATTATTATATGTTTTGTAATTGCAAAGTCTGTCTTTTTAAATTACTCAGAAGTGTTTACCCTTTAAGTCTCTATTTATTATTCTTTGATTCATATTAATCACACTGTGATTCATTAGATCGAATGATCTACACAATTAATTAAATTATTTTTTAACCTGGGTTTATGAAATGTTAGGAGGGCTATTAAAAAATTCTATATGTAAATATTTTTCAGAAAAGTTTTTAGAGAGATCCTTAAGTAAGAGCCCATACTAATTTCAACTGCCTTCTCTTCCAGCAATCCCAAACAGGGCTATAACAGCCCCTGGCAGTGGACCACGGTGACGGCATCTGGCGAATGACAGTCAAGCCGGGCTCAAAAGGAGCCAGCACCTGCGACGGGAACAAGGACGGCCAGCTACGAGGAGCAGCAGCAGCAGCAGCAGCAACAGCAGCAGGACTACAGCAACTATCATGCCTCCGCTAAGCAGCAACAGCAGCAGCAACAGCAACCACAGCTTCCAGCAACCAACAATCAAAACCACAGCAACAATAGTAGCAATAAATTTTGTTATCCTACGGCGGCGGCCATGGAGAATATGTTCCAGAACAATCAGATGGCGGCCGCCGCCGCAGCACGAGAATCGCTGCTGAATTCTTATCTGTATCAGAAGGAAGGCGAAGCCAATTACATGTCGGAGCAGAGCTATTGGCAGCAGCAGCAACAGCAGCAGCAGCACCAACAGCAGCAGCAACACCAACAGCAGCAACACCAGCAACACCAACAGCAGCAACATCAGCAGCAACAGCAACACCAACAGCAGCAGCAGCAGCAGCACAAGCAACTCCAGCAGCAGCAGCAGCAACAGTGGAGCGGCAACAACGGCAGCAACAACAACCAAAGGAGCAACAACTATGCCAACAACTATGCGGCGGCGGCAGCTGCCTCCATGTACATGCAACACTTCAATCCCTACATGCAACAGAAGGCGGCGCTGCTGGCGGAGAAGGCCGCCCAGGCGGCGGCGGCAGCGGCGGCGGTCCAAAACAGCAACGGGAGCAATAAGCACGGACGCTTTGGCGGGGACTACGGCTAGAGTCCACTGGGTTCACGGTTCATTCAACCGGATCGAAATCACTTGCATATTAACATAAACATATAGGCATATATAACACATACGTGTAATAATAACTATATATTTAGAGGCATCGTATAGGCCGTTTTACCGCCAGGAATTGGTAAAGGATAAACCATGATTTTCCTTTAATTTAATACACAGGAACAGCAACAACAACAAGGTAACCGGAAAGCAACAACAATAATTTATAAACAACAAACAAGGAGGAAAAGAAAAAAAACAGAAAACAAAAAAACTTAAATTGAATTAGTAAAAATTTGTTATTGGTAGTTTGTTAACAAAAAAGAAAAAACAAAGATGAAAACGATAAAAAAAAACACGATAAGTGAACAAAAAAGTAATGTAGTAGAGCGACGAGAAAGCTGAAGGCAAATGAAAACAACCTAATTATTGTATTATTGTTAACCAAAATCTATTATTATTATTATCTCAAGCTGCGTTATATTATTATTATTAACTCGTGTGTCTGTACATAGCGTTTTTATCTAGATGTATTACACTTAGTGAGCCCCACCCGAACCCGAATCCGATCCCCATCCCAAGATCCCATTATCCCGACTATCCGACCTATCGCCAGGACAATCCTCGGACCCTCCTTACCAAAAAACAACAACAAACAAAAACCGCAGCGCTAAAAGGCAAACAACCAATTTTGTATTCATTCCGAAATGTGTTTTCTTTTTGTTTTTACTAGTTATTACGCCTGATTATTTATGAACACGATGGAAATGAAAATGGAAATCCCTAACATGTGCAATCTAACATTTATGTTCTAGATACAAAAAACCAAAACACAAGAATCACAAAACTTATTAACGCGAAAATGGCAAAGCAAAAAGCATGATCATGAAAATGAAAAATGGAAAAATAAAGAGAACCCTTTTAGAGAATTTCGCTGATAAAGGCAACAGAATAGCAAAACGCAACCGACTTTTACTTTGGGTGCTTTTATCTATTCAGATAATTCAGGGACGTCACACAAAGTGCTTATGTATAAATAAATTTATATTTGCTTTTCAAGTTCAGTGTGTATAATAGGCATATAAAAGTTAATTTCTGTATAAATACGCAACTTTTCACTTACAAACAAACATTATGTAATATTTTCTCGTTTAACATTTAGTTAGAACCACGCTTAAAATAAGAGTTCCTTTCTAAGGCATTTGAAATGCGCGCGTGCGAATGTTTTCAGCTATATCTGTGTGTGTTTTCTGTGGAAGTGTGTGCCCGGTATGGTTTCTTTGTTTCTTTGTGCTCCCAGCCGATCTCCAGCGATATGTCAAGGGGCCCCATCTACTCGATCTGGCGGCTGGCCTCCTGCAGACGCGCCACCACGCCCTGATAGAACTTAATCTGTTCGGCAATGAAGTTCTTTAGCGTGTGCTTCAAATGCGTATCCCGTTCGCTCTTAAAGTGGGTCAACTCGGCCAGAACCGTGTAGGAGACGACATCCGTGCGCCGGTTGACGTCGTGCAGCTGGGGATTGTTCATTCTGCCCTCGCCGGCCAATCGCTCGCATTCCTTGCGCTTCTGTATGGCACCCTTGTGCGTGGAGAAGATGTCCGGAAAGCAGTTAAGAACGCCCCTTTTGAAAAGACAAAAATAGAAATTAGTTAATGGCTTCTAGATTATTCTGTATACCAAATATAGATGGAAAGTTACTTCATTCTCAAGAAGACAGAACTCAAATTCGTACGCCGATAAAGGTCAACATACATTAGAAAATGAATCTAAAATAAACTATTGGCAACTAATCGATTTTTCAGGCGAAAGTATACGTTTAATTAAACAAGTGGCTCTTGGGCATTTACCAAAGAACCATAGTGATTTCTAGAATAAAGTGTTTACTGCCTAAAGGTAAACAATTTAAACAATAACAATTCAATTGCTTACAATAAAAGGTGCAAAAACCCAATGCATTCATTTTACATTTAATATTTAAAATAATTATTTATATTTGCTTTTGTAATTGTGAGTAATCCCAATTATCTTCAATTGCTTTTGCAACTTGATTACGAACATCTGTACATGTTCATAAAAGGTAAACAAAATTAGTCATAATCGAAACTATAAATATCGTTTTGATGTCTTCTATCCAATTACGAATCAATGAAAGTTCCTAACTCTGCTTCCCATCACATTTTGCGAGGCCAACTCACCTGTAGATATGCAGTCGATCCGAGAGGGGGATCCAATCTTGCTTTGGCTGTTCGCCAAAGTTCTGGCCAATACCGATAAAGATGCCACCGATGCGGCCGACGCTCTCGGACAGCGGAACCGCGTTCCGGGTGGGCGCACGCCGTTCGTCAATGGCCAACGCCTTGGCCAGGTCGGAAAGTCCGTCGCCGATGCGCTGGAACTCCTTTTTACTCTGCGTCATGGAGCGCTTGGCCATGTCGTTGGAAATGTTGTTTAGGTTGCGTACGGCCACGTCCATGCTGTGGATGAACTGTGTGCCCAGTTCCAACTGGGCGTCCACCTTGGAGTGCAGCAGATTCTTGTCCGGCGGCGAGATGGCCAGACAGTAGTTGACGCCCATGTATGGATCGCGTTCCGCCTTGCGCTTGCCGGACTTCCAGATCTTCTCGTCGCGACAGGTCAGGAAATGGTACCAGACCTCACACTTGGAGATCACCGGATGACGGCACACCCAGTCGACGAACTCCTGCAGTTGCACCCGCCGATGTTCCACGAATTGCTCTTCATAGCGGCCGGAGATCTGCTTGTCCGGTAGCGGTGGCACTGGAATCAGGCAGAACTTGTCCACCAAACGTTCGTGCAGCCAGTCGAAATGCTTGTAGCGACGCGACACCTAACGAAAGGGAAACCCAGATTAGATATGACCAATTAATTGTGAAATGTGACACGGAAAGAGGAACACGGAGAAGGGGTCAGCGGTTGGTGCTGCTGAGTCATTCCCCGCGGCGGTTCACAGGCAGAAGCAATCATCGCAGTGGCGTTGGCTACCAGTTGGTCAGAATTGCCCCAACAAAGAAGAATTTTAAGTGCTCTTACGACGCTGTAATGCCCTACTTTTCATTATGTACTCTTGAAAAAGATGAAAACTTTTAGGAATAGATAAGTTTACTCGTTGTTTAAAAATAACTTTAAGAACTTGATAGAGTTAGAATATATTTAAATTAATTTTAGATGAAATAAAGGTTTTAAAATGATTACATAATGATTAAAAATTTCTTTAAAGTTTCAAGAGATCTGGAAAGTTAGATTAAGATAACCAAAACAAACCGAGAAATATATCTACTGTCCAATTAACTTTTATGTACAGAAAGGTTACTTTAGGGTCGATTTAGTTGGGAAAAGTTGGCCGGCAATTAGTGCGGAGTTTCAATAAACAAAGGATGGGCCTTCCTTCACTTCGGCCACGCTGTCTTCCCGAAAGCACATGACCCAGCCCAAATTACCCTTGGCAGAGGGTAGAGCGCACAAAGCACTGCACCCGTAGTTACACACTCATACGGCGGGGAGCTTTATCGTATTGTGTTGTTAATCACGGCGATATCTGTGGAGCCAACTTACGGATATGTTATTGAAACTAGGCGTCAGTTGGTAGGCGATGAACGTCTTCATCCCCTTGAACTTGGACTCCTTTTTGGGGCTGGCCACCACAACGGAGTAGGGCGAATGATTCTGCGTCCACTGATAGATGGAGTCCTCCACCTGTGTGATGTAGGCCATCTCGCATTCGGGTATCTTCTCCTTGGTGCTGGACAAGCCGAGTATATACGAATCGGAGCTTTTGGCAAACATGCCTTTCTTGACGGTGCCGGCAGCACCGGTTCCTCCAGCCACGGAGGCCAGCGATTGGGTGTCATCGCTGGGGGCGATGGGTAGGTGTTTGTTATCATAGTCGCTGGTGGAGTGGGATAATCCGCCAGCGCGAGCCGCCTGACCCGCGGACTTCTGGCCACCTGGTCCAATCTCCGAGTAGGTTTCGTTGTCATCGCTCCAGTCGTCCTCGTCATCCCAGTTACTCCCGTCGTCGTCGGCCGTCTGATCGTATCGTGGCAGCGGGGGCGAGGCGAAGGGATCCGGCACCTGGGGCACTGAGGTGGCTCCGCTGGCGCTCAGCTTCTGAGCCTCTGCCGCCGACATCACCTCCACGTAGGCCGCCGGAAAGAGGCCGATCTGCCCCCGGGCGTTCTTGCCCTCCCACCAGCCCTCACCCACGTCGCTCCGCGTCACCGAGAGCACATCACCCGTGGCGATCGAGAGCTCCGAGGAGCCCGGCTCCCCGCTAAAGTCGTACATGGCGCGCACGTACGAGGTCATCTTGGTCCTCTCCTGGTCGTTCCGCTGCGTTCCTCTAGGCGTATTCGAATCCCGTGTCCACAGGGGCCATAAACAGACAAAAAATAACCACTGAAATCTGAATCACCAACAGTGGAGTGTGGCCGTGCCAGCGGTTGCGAAAGTATACTGAAATTTACCTTTTTGTTGCGGAACAATAAGATAAAAGTGCAGTAATTTTCAGATGGGGAGTTCTTGTAAGGGATTTTTATATATTTAAAGTTTTTATATTCCAAGCCGACTCCGTTTTGAAAAATATTAAAATATTTTCTTAATTGTAGACAGACTAATTTAATGCTAATTAAAAACTTTTCCTCAAACGACTTAATGCATATATTAAAAGAATATAAAAAGTTTTCTTTATGTTCTTTCACATTATTTGTTAATATTTTTATTTATTTGCAAATCGGAAGAGTTTTCTATGTATAATTTGTTTATACAAGCTCAAACATGTATGGTACTCTTGAATCTTTAATCTAATTTGATCCAAATATAAAATATAGAAAATGTTTGCAGTAAAAAAACATATTTTGAGGGACATTAGAATGCTTGTGATATATAATACTCGCGATAAATCAGCTTTACAAGGTATAATTAAAGATTTTGATATTCTTATCAAACATTTTCAATGATTAAAATCAAAGTAAATAAAGATAGCTTTATAACACGTATATACTATTTTAACAATTAATAGCTAAACGGGCACCCGAATAATTTTAGGGAATCCCCCTACCATTTGGTGTAACAGACCAGGGCTGCAAAACACGGCTCAGCTGGCGATGTATCGAGATGCACCGAAGTATCGAGTTGGCATAAAAAAATCTGGTCTTCGTGTCGTGTTGTTCATTCCTTAATTGCGCGTTGCTTTAATTTGTGGGTGAGCAAAATCGGAGCTCGGCGACATCGCCAGTTGTGCAATACTCGGTTCCAGCGGTATCTGTGAAGTCCCCCCCACTTGGAAAACACTCTTTTCGGCCGCACATACTTGCAGATACTTCACTTTGTCACTTTGCCGAGATTCTATTATATTCTTGCTCTTAAACGACCACAATGAATCGGCAGGCGAAATTCCTAGTCTTGTGCCTGTTTGTGGGCCTCTTCTCCGCGAATCTGTGCGACGAAGGTGAGTCTTGGATCAAATTAAATCGAATTGAAATCAAATTGAAAACACGGAACACTCATTTCTCAATTATGCACCCACACACACTTGCATCTGCAGGCGTACGTGTGCGCAAACACTTTCGTGGGTGTGTGTGTGTGTGGGGGGGTTTCTAAATGGCAATTCCTATATTGAATATCAATTCTCCGGCCATTTTCTCTTCCTGCGATTGGGGGTAATGTTCTCGTTAAAAGAATTATCTGAAACTTTCTCAAAATATGCCAAAGTCAATTCCAACAATTTTTTCTGACCATCATATTGGCCATCTTTTCGTATCGACAGAGTTTTAACCCAATTTCAGTGACACATATTTTGTGTCATCATCATCTTTGATTTCTCATAAATAAAATACAGTTTCAAGCGTTTTTTGTTTCTTGTTCAATATTATTTTGTTGACCAAAACACTTCTTATATTCACATACCCGTTATATTTACCCTAATCTTACAATATTTGTGAAGTAAATATATGTTGTCATCGTTTTCTTCGAAAACCAAGATCTTTTTTTTTCTTAAAAATATTGAAAGTCGATTAATGGCATTTCCTTTGCTCTTATCACATTTGACATTTAATTTGCATTTAAATTTTTGGTGACACATAAATATTTATCAGATATTTGTTTTTTCTGTTTATTTTACCAAGCCCAGTATTTAATTCCTTCACAATCAGCGTTCTGATAATTATATATCGTTAATCATATTTATTTCTTTGCAAAAAATATGACATATGAATGTATGGTTTATTTTTTGTTAAACATAAAGATTGAACATTGAAATATATAAGCTTTAATCGGAAAACTTTTATCAATTTATCAGTTGTTTTCCATAATTTGACTAATTGAAACTTTGAGATAAGAAAGCTATTCAAGTAAAAAAAAATTCTGTTTTTAGTTTATAGATCCCACAAATGTTGTGATAGGTTCAATTGCAGTTATTTATTTATTTCTTACATTTAGCGCACTAGTTGCCAAGTTACAATCGTTAGTAAGGATACAACATACTGTCTATACTAAAGATAGTAAAATAATCTTGACAATATGAACCCAACATACATATGTACTAATTCATTAATTTACGCAACCGGCAGTAACCACAGTGGCTCCCAAAGACACAACCACGGTGGACCCAAAGAACACCACCACCAGCGCCCCGCCGCCAGATACCACCACTCCATCGACCACACCGGCGACCACCACTACAGAGAAGACCACTACGTCCACGACGCCAGAAACCACGACTCCGTCGTCGACAACAACATCTTCGACCACTGAGAAGACCACTACTTCGTCTACTACTCTGGCCCCCAACACCACCACCACAACCCCGGCATCCACGACCAGTTCTTCGACCACTCCGTCTCCGAATTCGACCACCACTACGGAACCGCCACATACATCGACCACTCCGGCGCCGAAGCCAGTGCCGTGCGGTCACTTCGACGGATCCTCGTTCATCGGCGGGATCGTGCTGACCCTGGGCCTGCTGGCCATCGGACTGGTGGCCTACAAGTTCTACAAGGCTCGCAACGAGCGCAACTACCACACCCTTTGAGCCGCCACCGCCTTTACGTCGGCCTTCAATGCGGCAGCCGGAGCAGCGGCGGCCAGCAGCAGTGCCGCATCAACGGATGCGGAACGAGTGCGGTTCGTCCAGCCTTCGATACCGCTAAGGTCGCCGCCGGCGCAGCCACCACCACCGCCACCCATCCAGGTGGGTGTCACTGGGGGCGGTGCGGCGTCAGCTCCACAAAACTGCTCGCCATCGGCCCGAGATCGGCTACTGCATACGTAATTTAAACGCGGGGAACACAACACACACACAATATTACCCAATATAACTGCTATCCAAAGAGATCCCCCCAACACACAGAACAGAAAACAGTCAAGTAAAGTCAACGATAACCCCTAGAGCGGACCCAGATAGTAGGAGCAGGCTCTTAATTCTTGAATACTTTCCTTATCACTCACATGACCCAAACACACTCTGGAAAAAACAACCACAAACCACAAATATTTGTCTTTTTATGCATTGCATCCATATGTAAGGGTACGTTTTTTGCAAACATCAGTTTATCAGCGAACTTGAGCGGATGTTCAACGCCTTATAGAGGAGCCCATGGAGCCTGCCACTGGGCAATTCCAAGGGCGACCATGAACAGAGAAATGAGTAATGTAATGAGATCGAAACGAAACGAATTGAGAGGAGTAAGAACAAATAACAGCAAATATGTGAGACTGCTTGATAGCGAGAAAGTGAACAGATCAGAAAATGGAAAGCGGCTGGCGACGGCTTTGTTTCTGGAATTCATGGAGCTACGAAAGGAAATATAAATTTTGATTATATTTACACAATTTTTGAATAACTAAAATCAATTCTGTCTAGAAACTAAGAATATCTACTACCTAAACCGAGCTATACAAAATGGAAACGCGTTTCAATTTCCTCATTTAATGTGCATTTTTTTCTTCATCGTAAAAAATAACGTTTGCTGCGTTTCCCCCACTTATCTATCTATCGATTCTCCTCAACCCGCTCACCCCGGGCCCTGTGTAGTATGGCTAAAAATCAATAAAGCGACTCACGATGCACAGCAACAGGATTTACGGATTGTGGTGCACGGTTGATATGCGTTTATATGCAATATAAACACGTATACACCGCTGAGTGGATATTACAACCTGTGGGAGCCCCATGTTAATGCATATATACGCAAATGTTGAATATTTTGTACTAGAATTGAAACTATACATATGAATTACTTTTACCTACCCGCGCTTACTGTTGGATAAATACACATTTTAAGCTACAAATTGATCACATGAACCCGTCAAGTTTACGCATATGCAAATGAAAACTCTGTGCACATGAAAATCTCATAAGTATATAAGCTAAAGTAACCAATCAATGTATATCCAGTAAATCACTCAGCCGGCTTACTACAAATATATATATATAAATATATCTATGTCTGTATATCGTGTACGATAATAAATATTTTAAAAATTTAAACCAGTTTTCTATTTAAACGTTTTTATTGGATAATATTCCTTATTACCAACAAGACTGTTCCGTTGATTAAAACTCGCTTATGTTTGGTTATACAATCGAACATGTTTAATTTTATTTAAATTAGGAAACATTAACTACTTTCTACTCTGCGCTCAGTTTCTTTAACTTTTTAGGTGTCTTAATATTAGTGGTTTTTTCCTTGGGTGTCTTCCTCTTCAGATTTTCTTTCGGTTTCTGTTGAATGCTTTTTTCAGGTTTCTTAATTTTGGGGGATTCCCCTTTTTCCGCCTTAGACTTCTCATTATCATCGGCCTTCAAGGTTTTCTTGGTGGGGGATTTCCCTTTCTCCGCCTTTCGCTTCAGCTTATCTTTTGCGCTCCGCTTTTTCTGAGTGTTGAAGCGCAGTATCAGTGGCGTGCCCGCCAGACTAAGCTTTTGTTTGATGACCTTGCGTGCATCGTGGGTGGTTGGCAGGGTTACAGTGGCCGCACTGGAGTCACGGAATTTTCCCTTGCCCGGCCGTATTTGAATGTCCACCGCCTCCGGGAATAACTGGCGCACCTGGGCCACCGAACTGGTCTTGGGCAGATTGGTAATGACCACCGATGAGGTGAAGTTGCCCTTGGACAACACCTTCTTGGTGGCGCGCTTCATCAGGGCTTTGGTGCGTTTGTTCTCCACGGATGTCTGCTTGCGGTTCACCAGCTCGTTGACAAAATCATCGGAGTCGGTCTTGGGCAGCGACACAAATATACCCTTGTACTTGTCCTTATCAATGGAGGCCTTGATGTCTTCGTATGCCTTATCGCGATCCTCCTTGGTCTTAAAGTCCACCAAGCAGAAACGGGCGTGCTTCTGGCGAGGCTTCGTGGACTTGAGTACCAGCGGGTGCAGTGCCTTCACCATGGTATTGAATTCATCCACATCCAGGGGCAGTTTCTGGGGAAAGCGGACGTACAGCCGGGTGCCCTTTAGCTGCTCGTACTTGGTGTGGATCTTCTGGTCGATGATCTCCGCCCGGCTTTTCGGCTCGGGCTTGGCATCTTCGTCCTCGTCATCATCTTCATCGGATTCGGTGGCACTAGCATCCAGATCCAGTTCGGATCCATCGGAATCCTCCTCTTCGGAGTCCTCCGCCTGCAGTTCCTCTTCATCTGAGTCCTCTGCCTGCAGTTCCTCTTCGTCGGAAGCCTCGGAATCTCCTGACAGCAGTTCCTCCTCCTCGGATGCACTTTCCACCTGCTTTTTCTTCATTTTTAACGGGGAAATTAAACTGTTTTCTTTTTAAATTGCTTCGCACGTGTACGCTTTAGTGTGACCAGAGCAGGCGATCAGGGAAACTCAGCGTCACATTTGTAGCTAGAGTCAGTGTTGCCCACAGCTGATTAATAATCTTGCTCAAAGCTAATTTCAAATAAAAATTAAAAAGTAAACCACTTTAACAACCATAAAATAAGTAGAATATTTTAAAAATTTAATAAATAGCATTCCTTTATTTTCTTCGTCAGGGGCCAGCCATTTCTATATTTTTTTGTAAATAGCCAAATCTAGCTTGAAATCACAGCACCACTATTAGTGTGCTTCATTTATTTACCTTTTTACAAGCCGCATCATGGAAATGGATAATCCGTATTTTTGGAATGAATTTGAATTAAAACAACCTCCGTTGGTGACCCTGCAAGTGGAGGACACAGGTTTTGGTAAGTGGCAGCCGTTGGCAAGGGTTCAAGATCACTATTGTACAGATTATCCCTTCACAAACAGCCAAAAATGTGTTCGTGGTCATCAACAGGTTCCTGCAACAGTTGTCCGAACCGGAGGCCAAGGATTTCGAGGAGACGGCGGCGTTGATTGGACGACTGATGGCGCGCCGGAAGAACTCCTTCCGAAATATGCCGGGATTCCGGGCTGTCTGCAAATTGAATGCCGCGCTGTGCCGGCTGCTCCGTTTGGATTTGGCCAGAGATCTGGTACAGTTCCGCGGCGCTCTGCCAGATGTGTGCGATGAGGACTTGGGCGGAGCTATGCCTACGCGGAGTAGCTTCGAGTTTATTTTGGTGCGCCTGCTGGGCTTCTATCACCTTCACGAGCGGATCAGGGAATGCTGCCTCACGGCAGCCAGCTATTTCACCCAACTCCTGCGCAACAACTTCTTTATGGACTTCATCACGCTGCTCATCGCTGCCATTGCCAAGATCAACAAGCTAAGTTCCCTGCAGGCCAGCAAAAGTGCCAGTCTATACAATAAGCTGCGGCCGCAGGTGGCCAGCTTTCCGCTGGTGGCCAAGCACAAGTTCCTGGCGGAGGGACAAGAGCTTCCTGCTAAGTTAGAGCCTCTTAAGAGCTCACCGAATCAAACCAAAGCAGACAGCAACACACCTGATTTGGTTCTGAAACCCAAAAAGGTTGTCACCAAAATGGAAATAGCCAAACAGGAGGCCAAATCCGATGTGGGCACTGTTATAGCCAGAAAGGAAGCACCCTCTGAAGTTCTAAGAAAACCCAAATTCAATGAAGAGGCTCTAGCTACTGTGGCGGATGCACAGCGTTTTATTGTCCGCGAGTCCAAGGCCAGAAAGCAGAATCCTCCACCAGATAGTTGCCTCACCAAGAGTATACCCAAGCACGAGTGGCTGGCCGCACAAACGCTGTTCCAGCGTAAGATGTCCAAAGATCCCGCAAAGGCTTTGAACATATTTCGCAAGTTTATTGTTAGTAAAATAAAGTAACACTCAAATTAAGGACAAAAAATTATACACAGGTCACCATGCCATCAGCCAGCTGCAGACTCTTAAGAGCCACAATTCGCCTCTGTGGATGAGGGTTATTTGTCTAGTAGGGAATACAAAATAATAATAACTTCATCTTTTCTTCATTAATTCAAAACTCACCTTGACAAACTTCTTAAAGTTCTTGCGCCCGCTGTACTTGCTCACCGAATCCTCAAGAGAAGCATCCACTTCCTCTTGGGAGCGATTCACGATATTCAGGTTGCACATGCGCACCTGTATGCTGTCTTTCATGGAAGCCAGCCACTTCTCCTCTTCGGGATCTGCCTTAATAGATGTTTCCAGCTTAACTTCTCCATCTGCCTCGGATTTGATATCATCGTGCAGCCTGCTACACGATAACCAACCACTGATGTCCACTTTTTTTGGCAGCTCCTTTCGCTGAACTACAATGTATTTGGATTTCTTTTTGGTTCCCTCTTCAGGCTGGAAGGGTTCGGTCAACACGGAATCCTGGTCAACACTATCGCTTGGTCTTTCAGAATTAAAGTTAAACAAACCATCGGTGGAATCTTCATTGTTCTCCTCCTGATTCTTCTTTTTCTTTTTGCTGTCCGCAAAGCTAAAGAGATTTTCACAATCGTCGCTATCGCTTTCGTTGAGCGGTTCCAAGCGCAAACGCTTACGAGGTTGGGTCTGCGATTGCGACTCCGAGTGGGAGGCTGAATGTGATTGGGATTTTTCCAGAAAGTTGATAACACTTATTTTGCCCTTGTCCGCTGACTTTGGCTGAGCAGTAGTAACCGCTGTTTTCTGAGGAGTTTTTCGGAACTGAAAGAGTCCCCCCTCATCATCTTCGTCATCCACAACCACAGATAGGACAGGACGTTTGGGTGGCATTGGTAGCTTCTCCGGCGGTTGGTTTGTTATATTTGTAGCCACTGATTTGGCATTGAGACGAGGCGATATCCTGGTGGCAGCTACAGCTTCTGGTTTCTTCCTGGCCGCAGAAGGGGCGTCTACAGCTGATGATTTTTTTGGCTCCTGGGAATTGTCGTTGTCCTCATCCGAGGAGTCAACACAATAGACGCGTTTGCCCGCCTTTGGCATTTGTCTTTTTGAACCTGCAACGGGAACTGGTGGTTCTACAGCTTTGGCTTCATCGACAGCTTTGCTTCGCCTTGTCATGTGTTGCTTTTGAAGAGGAGCAGTAGTTTTTGGCTTTACAGATTCCTCTTCATCCGGCGAATCCAGTAGTATGACATTCTTGGCTTTACTGTTTGCTTTCTCGGCAGGTAAGGGTTTGGCTCGTTTGGATGCAGCTGATTCCTTCTCCTCATCAGAGGAGTCGACTGCAATGGCATGACTCCTTTTACGCAAAGAACTTTTTGACGATTGAGGTTCCAAAACAGGCACGGACGGCTCCTTCTCCATATCGCATTCGTCCGACTCAGGCACCACTAATTCAGAAATAGGTGTTTCAATGGATTGCGCTGAATTACGTTCCGTGTTGGGCACAATGATAGAAGAGTTAAACGCCATCGAAGAAGTTACAGACTCTGTGGTGGGTAATGAATCTGAGATGATGAACTTATGCGCTGGGTTGCAGAACTCTTTGATGGAGCAATGTATCAAGGCCATGCCAATCTCGTACTCCTGAATAATACGTCGGCCACTTTGCTCCAGGATATCTAAAGAATATGTATTGTTTACTTGTTTCTGTTGATTTGTACATTACTGCCAGACCTACCTTGTATACTATTGATCGATTCAGTGGCCTGTGACTGAGTTGAAGGCACATACTGTATGACTATCACATCAGCCTTTGTGAGGAATGTTTTGCGCACCCCCGAATTGATGTCCTTGCAGGCTGCCCCAGCTTTCTGAACCACCGATCCGTACATTTCGAAGTGTTTGCGATTCATAAAGACAAAGGTTTTACCGGCAAAAAGACGAGTACGTTCGGGTCGCCAGGTGACATCCATATTGGTGGGCTGGTAGTCCTCAGGCTGCGGCCATCCCTCCTTCACATGGACGCTCTGCGCCGCCTGGAGCAGCTTTCTCCAGTAGGCAAAGGTCACAATCGGTTTGTTCTCAAGCATGGCGTGCAGTAGTTTCACGGTCACCGAAGCTTCGTTCATCGTGAGATGGGAGCACTCGTCGGTCCAGTTTGAGGTCACGGTACCACCCATAGGTTTGAGTATCTCCGCCAGTTCCTGGATCTCGGGTCGGGTCAAGGCGGAGACTGTGGTGACCAACTTTAGGCGGGTCACTTGCCAAATGCTTAAATTTGCGCCAAATCGAACTCGAGTTCCATCAGGCAAGGGAGTCATTGTCTTGGCAGGGACTTTACGGGGCTTCTGGGAGTTTCTGGGGAAGGTGAAGGTGCCATATCTGGAGCCAAGATCCTCAATTTGCAGGCAATCATCCTCCTCCTCTTCTCCCGGCAGGTGAATTTGCACATGATTCCTACTTATACTCAGATCCTGCGCAACAATCAAATCCGTGGCCAGGCGACCCACGGTGTAAACCTTCTTAGCTGGTAACAAAACGAACTTTTCATCATCTGATAAAATAAATTGAAATGTTATTGTACAATATGTAAAGCTTTTTATCCAATTTACTTGCCTTTTGTTAGAACAAACATAATTTCAAAACAAACACAAAATTGCAAACTCAAAAATGCAGTGTGACCTTAGCTAGTGCTATCTACACAGGGACAAAAAATATGCTGTGATTTTAAATTTTATGTGGAGTCCCCTAATCGCCAAACTATCGTAAAGTGACAAAATATCGATGCAATGTATATCGTCATTCCCTCCGAATGGCAAAACTATCAAGAAGAAGCATTTGCAGCCGGTTTGTTTTTGTGTCGTTTTCGCTTGGATCTATAGAAAAACTGAATAATCCGGATTTATCACCGATTAATGTGAGTGAGGACACCTTGAACAATGGCTCACCTCACCGGCACCCGCGTCAGCAGCTTCAATGAGAGCTTTCTCAACGAGAATGAGCACGACTCGAATGCCGTGCTCATGGAACTGGACAAGGGTTTGCGGAGCGCCAAGCAGGGGATCCAGTGCGAGGCGATCGTCCGCTTCCCGCGGCTCTTCGAGAAGTATCCCTTTCCTATACTGATCAACTCGTCGTTCATCAAACTGGCCGAGTTCTTTGTCAGCGGCTCGAATCTCCTGCGCTTCTGGGTGCTCCGCGTCTGCCAGCAGAGCGAGAATCACCTGGACAAGATTCTCAACATCGATAACTTTGTGCGCCGCATCTTCATGGTGATGCATTCCAACGATCCGGTGGCTCGGGCCCTGCTCCTGCGCACTCTGGGCGCCGTTTCCCGTGTGATCCCCGAAAAGCAACAGGTCCATCATGCCATCCGACGTGCCCTGGATAGTCACGATACCGTGGAGGTGGAGGCGGCCATCTACGCCAGCAGCTGCTTCGCTGCCCAGTCCAGTTCGTTTGCCATCAGCATGTGCGCCAAGATCTCGGACATGATTGAATCGCTGCAGGTGCCGGTGCCGATGAAGCTGCTTCTAATTCCCGTCCTGCGGCACATGCATCACGAAGCCACCACAGCGGCGCTGGTCAGCAGGCTGTGCATGGATCTGCTGCCCAAGTACCCGGCCCAGAGCTTCGTTGTGGCCATTATAGACACCCTCACGCAGTTGTCTTCCCGCACGCTGGTGGGAGTGCCTGGCCAGCTGGATGTATTGCTGGACTTCATGCAGGATTTGAGAACCCCCGTGCGCATCCAGGTGCTGCGCTCCTTTAACGAATTGGCCGGCCGGCAGAGTGTTCATGCCTGGCCCAAACCAGTCATCGAAGCTCTCATCGGTCGCTTTGAGCTGTGTACCAACTCCCAGGAGCAGTTCCTCTTCCTTTCCATCTTGTTGAAGCTCAGCGAGTGCCCACTCACCTGCCAGCAGTTGCTTCGTGATCATCGCGTGGCCCTGCTTCGCCTGTGCATCCAGTGCATCAGCAAGTTGGACGACTACACCACCGCCACTCAGGCCATGGCCGTTCTCTCTGTTTTGGTGGCTTTTGGCCTTAAGAAGGAGGCCTATAGTGAGCAGGTAGAAGAGATTCTTCATATGGTCAACCTTCACATGGAGGGACTGCTTCTCTGCACGGCCAAGCGGCCGGAGTGCACCCGAGATCTGCGTAGGGTGTTGACCTACGGCATAAGAATCACTCAAGCTAATGCTGAATTTGGAACCTCCTTCATTGAAATCGTCACCAATACCCTGGGCGATAAGGCAGCCTATCCGCCGGCCAATGCGGAACTCACGTGTGAGGCACTCGTGGGTCTCTGCGAGCATTTCCAGTTGCGCAAATACGCTTTCTCCACAGCAGAGGAATTAATAGGAGATGACGCCATGGAGACTGATGAACCGCTTCCACCCAAGGTAACTTTTGATTTAAAAACTTGGTTAACAATTAGCTAATCTTATTTAATTGTAGGTAAATCCAATGCTGGCTCGCCTGCCGCTCATCTTGCACAAGCTAAACACCATAATCGACCAAGAGAGCTGCGAGCAACAGTTGCGCACCGTGGAGATCTTGAGTGCCTTGGTGCTTCAGACCACCATGGGCTGTTATCTGCCGCAGAAGGTGGTGCAGTGTTTTGAAAAGTGCCTGGGCAGACTGAATTGCTGGACACTTTACAGAATTGCACGCACTGCTAGTCGCTATGGTCACCACTATGTGGCTGCTCACATTTACACCAAGGTCTCCCAGATAGTGATCAGCGATCACATGCACTACTTCCTGGTGGCTCTGTCGCAGATCTCGCAGGCGGAGTGCATCCTAAATTATGGCTTGGAGTACGCCTATATGCGAGATAATTATGCACCGAAAGCGGCTCCGGAACCTTTGATGCCGTTGATGAAGCGTTTGGAAACCGCAAGCAATCTCTACCAACAAGCACTGGCTAGCCTGCGGGCCTGCTCCTCCCCACAGCATCCGTGCACCTTTCAGCTGGAGTATCTGAAGATAAGGGCACAGTTTCTGCAGACCCTACACCTCGCAGTGACCGTGAAGAATGCTCAGGTGATTGTGCCACCGCCGGCGATAGCTGGTAGTTTGGCTCAGAACTCACGGGATTACCTACAGAAGTTTGGGCATGTCACGAATCAGCTGCGCAAGCTGGTCAAGGCTTTAAAAGCCTGTGAAGAGACCTATGCCAGACTCTACAAATCATCCTTTGATGCGGATCATGTGACGCTGGAGTTTCTCGAGGTGGCTGAGTTCCAATGTGCTCTTTTTGCCCACATCATTGAATCGATTTGCTATGCCACTCCGCCGGAGCCACCTGTTTTCCTAACCACTGGCGATCACCCGGAGACACGCTACTTCGCCGCCAGTTGCCAGCGCATGGAGCAGATGCAAAAGAACCTTCCCCAGGAGCCGGCTAATGTCAAGACCATTAGCAACCGACATTTGGATGTGATCATTGCGCAGATTGAGATAATAACGAAGACACCGCTATGCCTGCCGCGCTACTTCTTCCAGATTCTGCAGTCCACTCAGATCAAGCTGTCGGTGAGTCCGCAGCCCAGGAGTGCCACAGAACCCGTGAATGTCCAGTCGGGCAGTAATCTGGTGATTAAGGTAGAGGGTGTTCTGCAGCATTTCAGCAAGCAGAAGAAGCACTTCCGGCGCGTGGAGTCTGTACAACTGAGTCTCACCTCTCAGTTAATTACACCACCGCCCCGATCCTCCCAAGATCTTCCGAAACAGGCAGCCAATGACACGGTGACCCTGAACCAGATTGTAAAACCGCAGAGGGATTTCCTTTCCGGCAGCTTCCTGCTGCCCATCTCAAGTGGCGGGCACTTTCAGGTGACGCTGGAAACGTTCGTGGTGGACGAGAACGGAATAACCTGGTGCACTGGGCCCAAATCGTCGATGGTGGTGCGGGTGCTGGAGGATCCAACCAAACAGGGAGCTCCAGCACCGAGTACTTCACAAGCGGTGGGACAGACGAGGAGGTTTTGAAACAGAGCTGCTTAAGACTTAAAATAAAATATTTGTAAATAAAACATGTATTCTACAAAGGTAGAATCTTTTTTCTGAGTTTCTTTCGTTTTTTGAGCCTTCTTTCTAAGTTTCTGATCTTTCTTTTGGACCTTCGCACGTTCTTTCTGATTTTCGGAACATTATTTCGTTCTTTAAGACCATTTTTTTGAACTTGTGGCTTTGATAGAATTTTCGTCCGCAGTTTCAGACATTCTAGATAAGTTTCGGATTTATGTTCGGACTTTTTCGGAGTTTTGTACTTTTGTTGAGAGTTTTGAACATATATTTTAAACATTTTTAATAAAAAATGTTAACCAAAACGAAGACCAAATTGTAAATCCCAATTGGAATATATAGTCCCATTCACTTGAAAACCTCCGATATATCGATACTATCGCGAGTTCCTGGCCCACCCCCACCAATCGGATTGTTCGCAAGGTGCAGCTACGGTCACACTAACCCACTGCTGATTTGTTTTCATTATTTCTTTTGGCTTGGCGAATAAATTGGGACAAATGAGGCATCATTGCGGGCGATGCGAATTGTGACCAGCGGGCAGCAGCAGCGGCATGCGACACCGTCACCGACACCAGCGAAGCAGCACCACCTGGCCAGCGTCGTAAGGGATTCCCCGGATAGTGAGCGACGGATACGGAAACCCGAGACCGAGACCCAAAACCAAAATTAAAACCAAAACTGAAACGGAAAGCGGAGCACCCGCAGTCGAGCAAGTGGTTCCTACATGTCCCCCATCCCTCGCACCCTCCGATCCGCACAACGACACCCCCCTCCAATCCACTTGGCCGCTCCACCTCAATGTAAATTTTAATTGAAGCCAATTGAGCGCACACACCCGAAAACACGCACCAAAAACCAAGCCGTAATCAAACCGAAACCCTCGACCGGAGAAGGCTCCGCTGGACAAGATTCCGCACTTAACCTGTTCAGGCGACGGCGGCGGTGGTGGCGTTGGTGGTGCAATAAATGGACATAATTGCTCTAATTGGACAGAGCAGCAGCAGCAGCAGACGCAGCAGCAGTGGCAGTGGGATCGTCAGTGGGATCAGAGGAGCACCATCACCCCCCCGGGCAATAGGATGGCACAATTCACACTGTGAGTATACGTAGTAGTACATATATGTATCTTTTTGGTTATCAGTCGGCTAAGGGGGCTGCAGCACATGGATTTCCTGCTTTTACTTCGGTACCCGTCCCCTGTCAATGGGAGCTTTTGTTTATCTATTGACGGCGCTTGGCGGTATTATGCAAGGGAATTCGCTGACTCGGTTTCGGGTGTTTGGGTGTTTGGGTGCCGGGTACTGGGGGACTAACACATTTAGATCATGGAGCATTATCATACCATTACGAGCATTGCAGCTACAACAAACACAGTGCGCCGCCCAGTAGCGATAGTACGCGCGTGGACTGCGATCATGTACCGCTGTGCTCCATTAACGACGTGCAGCTAAGGTTCCTGGTGCCCGACGATCTGACGGAGGTGAGTATATATCTAACAGATGATAATCTCCCCCTATATATCCGTTTGATAAACCACCTTCAGGTGCGCCAGCTGTGCCAAGAATGGTTTCCAATCGACTATCCACTATCATGGTATGAGGATATTACCTCAAGCACGCGCTTCTTTGCGCTGGCAGCTGTATATAATCTGGCCATAATTGGTTTAATCGTTGCCGAAATCAAACCCTATCGAAATGTCAACAAGGAGGTAATAGCCAATATGAGTGATAGTGATGAGTTGTACACCAGGCTGAGCGGTTTTCCAATGCAGGACAAGGGCATCCTGCCGGACTCGATGGGCCGTTCCGCCGACGTTGGCTACATACTCTCGCTGGGCGTCCATCGTTCGCATCGACGCAATGGCATCGGATCGCTGCTGCTGGACGCGCTTATGAACCACCTGACGACGGCCGAGCGGCATTCGGTGAAGGCGATCTTCCTGCACACGCTGACCACCAACCAACCTGCCATATTTTTCTACGAGAAGAGAAGGTATCTGGGAGGGGTTTTCCCCATTGCGTGTCCTTGTGCTATTAATCGAGCTTCCCATTTTTCCCCTTTTTTAGATTCACGCTACACTCATTCCTGCCCTACTACTACAATATACGGGGCAAGGGCAAGGACGGATTCACCTATGTGAATTACATAAACGGCGGCCATCCACCCTGGACACTATTATATCCTTTTTCAAAATGCCTCTATGGCCTGGGCCTTCTAGCTTTTCTCTTTATGATTTCGCTGTACTTTTGGTTGCCCTCTTAACTCTCTACCGCACAGATCACATCAAGCACTATGCGTCAAAGGTAAGGCACACCAGCAGCCTGTGTGCCTGGGTGACCGGTCGCGTCCAGCTGGTGGTGCGGTGGTTCTATCACAAGCTGCTCACCCGCTTTAACTTCATCGAGTGAATCGCGACAAGGCGGATCCTTCCGAGACACACAAGCACTTCATCGGTGATGATAGCTGTTGCCGTCGCATTATGTCATCCCGTCGAGCATAGACAAACAAACAGCAACATTAATAGGTCCACCTGCACCCACTCACCATACAGACACACCTTCATTATAAATGTTAGGCAATACCTCCGCAGAATCATTACGTTTTTATACCGAAAGAAAGAGAAAAGGAGAAAAAGAGATCTATCAAGGAACAACGTCAAAAGGCATAAGTTGAAAATTGTATAATAATTCGATAAGTGTATTATTACGTTTAAAGAGATATCTATCTGTTCACCGCTGTAAATAGTCTTACGATGTTTTGTTTGAACTGCTGTAACCGAGTGATTTGGAAAAATCCCCTTCTATTTAATGTAGCCCTTTTTTGTATGTATGTTTTTTTACCTCTTAAGTTCCACGCACAAGAAAGTCATTTAGTTTAGCGAGAACCAACAACAAAGATGCTCATGCTTTAATGCTTATTTTATGAAATCTGCACGTAAATAGCTTTGAACTGAGAAACGAATTAATGTTATATGGCAAAAAACCAGTTGAATACCCAACCACGAAAACGATAACCATTTAAAAATCAAACTCTGTTCGCTGTTTCTATAGTATTTTGTAAAAGTATTTTAATGCATATTGTTTCGCAGCTAATTCTGATTACTTTAGGCACAATTTATCTAGCAAATTGTAATATTTTATAAAATAAAAACTTGTAAAGTTAAAGACAAGATTTTTTTTTACTTTAATCCTAAGAATAAAGTCTAAAGTTCATATAACACGATATTACAATTCGGCTGTCACAATGGATTTTAATTTATTCTACTTATAGCTAAACAGATTTAAATCAAAACCTTTTTTAACAACTTAGGGATACACTTTAATGTTTTAAAACTGTAATTTATTTGCATAATAGTGAAAACTGCCAAACACTCGATTATTTAACATTAAAAACTTTAAAGTTAAGTTCAAAACGAAAATTGTTTAAGAAAGTTAAAGGTAAAAATAAAAGTTATAAAGCAACATATTTTGTTTATTATATATAATTTTTAAAGAAATTCAAAAAAGTGCCCCTGGCCAGTGCTGTAAAACAGTGTTGCAGAGTGCTAAGCTAACAGCTGATCTGGCAACGCTGTCTTAACCTGTCACTATTGTGAACTAGCAACTTCGGGTCAATTTAGTAGCATAAATTCGTCGCAACTGCCTGGAAAATGTTCTCGAGAGCCGCTCTTCTAACAGGTAAAACCCCAAAAACCGTGCAAAAAGCTGGCCGGATATTCGGCAAGCCCTAAACAAACAATGGCATCGAGAAAATCCGCCCACAAATGACCGTGAAAAATGTTACGGCATTGCAAAGTCGTCGGACATCGTGGTTTATGTAATCACCCATTCGCAGTGTATACGTCAAAAAAAGCATAATTTTGGCAAATCAGATGTAGAACTAATGGTGGCGATGTGCATTTACAGCCCAGCGCCCTTTGGCGGTGGCCGCCACCCGGACGGCCTCCGCTGCCGCCGCTCCCGGCGGATCCATCGAGCGCCGCCAGCGCCCCGAGCATCCCGGCAAGGTCCGTCTGGGCTTCCTGCCCGAGGAGTGGTTCCAGTTCTTCTACAACAAGACTGGCGTCACCGGTCCCTACACCTTCGGCGTGGGCCTGATCACCTACCTGTGCTCCAAGGAGATCTACGTCATGGAGCACGAGTACTACAGCGGGTTGTCTCTCGGCATCATGGCCGTCATCGCCGTCAAGAAGCTCGGCCCAGTCATCGCCAAGTGGGCTGATGGCGAGATTGATGTGAGTACAACTTAGAAAGTCACATTCCCCCTTGAAATATGATCTCTCATATGTCTGGATAAACTTTAGTTAAACCATAAAAAGTATACTTGGGGCCGCTTTTTCGCCCTTATCTTTAACTAAAAGTAGGTTTTAAACCTAGAATACGTAGTTTAGCTTAACATATCTCTTAATATTGCGGAAAATATCGTTAGAAATTATAAAAATCAACAACCTAGGAATGCCCAGTTAAACTTTTTACCACACTTCTTAAGACAACTTTAATATCCCTTTAAAAATAACTAAAACTAGATTTTCTAGTTTGTTTTCATTTTCAAAATGAAGTTTTAAATCTTGGTTTGTTATTTTTCGACTGAAGAATTGAGTAAATTCATAAGCTCTCTTAAACCTTCAATAAATTTCAGAAACCAATACAAATAATACCTGTTTTTCCCACAGAAAATCGAATCCGAGTGGAAGGAGGGCCGCGAGGCTGAGCTGAAGGTCCTCTCCGATGCCATCGAGGCCGAGAAGAAGGAGCAGTGGCGCGCCGACGGTGCCCTGCTGCTGATGGAGGCCAAGAAGGAGAACATTGCATTGCAGTTGGAGGCCGCTTTCCGTGAGCGCGCCATGAATGTCTACTCGGAGGTCAAGCGTCGTCTCGACTACCAGGTGGAGTGCCGCCATGTCGAGCGTCGTCTTAGCCAGAAGCACATGGTCAACTGGATCACCAAGAACGTGCTGGCCAGCATCTCGCCCCAGCAGGAGAAGGAGACCCTCAACAAGTGCATCGCCGATCTGAGCGCCCTCGCCCTGCGCGTCAAGTCTGCCTAAACGATTTGAGTTTTAGTTGTTTAATTTGTAAATTAAAACCCATTCGAGACGCTGGAAACATGAATATGCCCGCAAGATGATAAAATCGATCCAATATATCTTCAAAATGTCCGTGTCTGAAAAGATCTTTTTGTGCAATTTTGCGTTATATTTAAAATGTTTTGTTTAATCTTAAGACGGCTTTTTTTATCACTTTGATGGTGTTGCATATCGTAAGGCTGAAGAGGTGGAATGATAAATCGGTATCTTTTAGGGTTTCTAAAATTTGGCACCTTTTTATTGAGGAAAAATGTTAGGATTACAACGAACCTTAAAACTAATTTAGTTGCAAAGTGTATTTGTTTCGAAAAGTCAATCATACACCTATCAGTCTTGTGCTGCACTGGCATCGTCATCGAAGGCATCCGCCTCCACCTGCTCCCCTTGGAAATCGCCCAGAATACCCAGGCGACGTACAGCTTGGAGATTTTGGATACAGTGGTCCACATTGGTCACTATGCAAAGGGGTCGTTCACCCTTATAGTAACCCGTATTATCACGCAGATAGACAACATCCCTGGTGGCCAGCCAATGTTGCAGTTTTACGAAACAAGGACACTGCCAGGGATTACCTTCGATGGCCACACGCTTTAGGTTCGGGAAGCTCACATTCACCTTGGACAGAAAGGTGAGGCGATTGTTATCCACCAGGATCTCCTGAACGCTACTTAGGCTCTCCAGCACATCCAGACTGATCTCCTCCAGCAAGTTGTGACCTAAGTGCAACTTCTGGAGACGCCGCATGGGTGCAAACATTCGCACATCCAAGGACTTCAGTTCGTTGTGACCCAGTTTTAGGTACTCCAAAAATGGTAGCGATGAGAAGGCCAGTGGATGAAGGTGCTTCATATGATTGCCATTTAAGTTGAGCCTGCGCATGCGTGGCAAAGTGTTGCTACCGAAGATTTGCTCTTCGAGGAACTCAAGGTTATTGTAGGACAGATCCAAGGTGTCCATGTTTTGCAGGGCAGCAAAGGTACTCGACTTGATCTCCAGGATTGCATTATACTGCAGATACAGCTTTCGTAGCGCTCCCAAGCCCACAAAGTGACCGGGATTTAGGCTGGCTATGCTATTCCGGGATACATCTAGCATTTGTAGTCTGGCCAGCACTCGGAATTGGTTGTCGAACAGGAGGCGGATGCGATTTCCGGACAGATCCAGTTGTTGCAGATGCAGCACAAAGTTCTGCACCGCTCCAAAGACATTGGGACGCAGTGCATCAAGGGCGTTTCGGGAGAGGTTTAGTATTCGCAGCTGCGAGAGTGGCTGAAAGGTTTCCTGGCCAATGGTGTTCAGCCTGTTCCCGCTGAGCTGCAGGTCCAAAAGACCGTGGAGTCCACGAAAGGCGTTCACATCCAACTGAAAGAAAGAATTTATATTTTAAATTTGCAGTCCCGCTTTTTTCCCCAGATTAAACATCATTAAAAGTTGTTTGCAAACTTTTTTTTAAGAGTGATGTTTGCAAATATTTTGATCAGCTTTAAAATTAGAAACAATTTTCTCATTCTCTCTCAAATTTTACTATTGTCATATATAGTTTTTCAATTAATAATGTTTGCTTCAATGGATAAACAAGAAATATTCAACTGATATTTTACAACCCGGCTAAAAGGCATAGATCACCACGATAAATTTAAAATCTGATATGTAAATCTGACTAGCAAACAGTAAACATTAAAGTTCGTTGCGGTTAACTGATATCAAAATAAAGGTGATATGATCAATAGATTCCGGCTGATCCCACACAACGAACCCATATTAATTTACAATTCCATAAGACCTTTTTTCGATACATTTTTTTAAATAATTGATTTAAAAAAAGATAAAATACCCATTTTTTAATCAACTCACCTGAGCCAATTGGTTGTTATTTAAAATCAATTCCTGCAACTGCGGACAGACCCCAAAAGTGGCATTTACCAGGCGATTGTGGCCCAGTTCCAGGCGATTGAGCAGCGGCATGTGGGGCAGATCGCATTGCTTTAAGGCATTATGCGAAAAGTTCGCATAAATCAACTTCCTCAGGTTGCCAAAAAAGTCCCGGTCCAGAAGTTCCATTTGATTGTGACTAAAATCGATCCGCTGGAGGGCTGACTCAACCGCAAAGTGGTTTCCCTTTATGTCAACAAGACCACAGCCACTGAGGTTCAGGTACCGCAGATTGGGTAGGATGGCAAAGCCGCTGGTATGAAGGTTTATGGGAGCTGCTGCTGTTAAATCCAGTTCCACTAGGTTGGCCAAATGATCTGCATTCTCGCCTGAAGGGATTTGGCACGGTTTAGGAATAAATATATTTTTAGGAAAAATATTTTTTGATAGGGAGAGGGAAATTGATTTATCTCTTATGGGAAACTTGGTATTATAATGGCAAAATTTGCCAGTTTTATGTCTTTCTCTTTTCCCAATATTTTTTGCAAACTTATAATGGAAAAATGCATGTTTAAAACTATTTATCCTTGACGATCAATTTACTAATTGTGATACAAATGTTTAGTTTTTCACTGACTTTATGATAAACCTCTCCCTACAACAAGACCTTACCTGAGCCCACCTCCAGATCCGTTTGCACATTCCTTATAGAGAGGGTGTGCCAGTTCTCCGCTCCCAAGTCCATCAGATCCTGCAGGGAAGCGATCTCGTTGCACTGGAAATTCCGCCAACCAATGGGCTGGCAGAGATCGGATCCGTTCAGAAAGGGAAATCCCCCGCAGAAGAGCCCCAGAAAAAGCGGCAGAACCCTATTTGCAGTCGGCAACATTCCTGCTTCAGAGTTTGGACTCAACTGAGGATCCGCGAACGAACGCAGAATGCGAATGAAAATGCAAATCCAGTTTGCAAAGAGGGGAGTGTTCGGGGGTTTACTATATAGAAGTCCAAGCCGGTTTGGGGCGTCATCAATGGGATCTTGGCTAGGGGCCGGCCACTCAACAGCTGTGAAATGGCTCCAAATCAAACACACACTTGTTTATCTTTCTCTATGATAGGTACTTTCTATAACTCTTTAATAGTGGTTTACATACAGTATACGTTATATAATATCGGTTAATTACTTGACGCGCGATTATTGTGCTCTTGGAGAAAAAATATTATGTTTTGATTTTATAGATTTATGGTCTAGACATCTATCATAGCTCATATTATACAAATTACAGGAAAATGAAGCCAAGAAAAACTCACTAACTTAGACTAAAACTTAGAAAGAAAACAAGTAACAATCAAAAATTATCTAGAATCTATTTTAGATTATACATATTAGAAGAGTATGCACAATTTTTCGATTTGTGCTTATGGGTATTTTAAGTTGGAGGCTCTTGAAAATGCTCAGATTGACGGATATTATATATCTGGCTAACAAATTATCATCTGGAAGCCAAAACTAAGCCAGAAAAAGACGATTAAATTTAGTCTAACATTATATTGAAGCAATGGATATACGTACATACATATATGGAGATATTTAAAGTACATTCCTTACAAGCAAATATATTTTACTAAACTGCTTTTCAAGAGCTCTTGGCTAAGATGCAAATATATATGTTGCTTACATTAATTAAGATCTTGTACTAGGTCTATTTTCACATTGATGGATTCTGTTTTTAGAGCGTTTCCCAGAAGACTTGCGACGGCAAATACGATGTTCTTTTTTGATAACTGAAAACTGGTATCTAGATCAGACTATAGTTACGGTTGGGTTTGTCATCTTGTTGCTGTTGTACAACGGCTGATAATGGGCACTCGATCCGTTCTTAACACTCTGACAGCCATTGGGATAGCGCATTTTGACCACGTTTGGATTTTGGGCTAGGGAAGATGTTGATGAGGAGGAGGACGTTGACGAGGATAGCGAACCGGTTGATGACTTATTCTGCAGTGGCAGTGCCTCCCCGATAAGGGTTATCCTTACGGGCTTATAGGCATTGCCATTGGGCATGGTCGGCGGGGTATCCCATCCAATGGAGGAGCGTCTTGGGGTATCCGGAAAAGCAGCCGCCAGCTGCTGATTATAATTGGTCAGCGTGGTGGAGATTATGGTATGCCGGCGGGTCTGGCTGAGAGCTGGACAGGATTTCTCCTGCTGCTTGTGCTCCTGGTTGTGGTTGCTCTGGTGGTGGCGAATTATCGTGGTGGCTGCCAGCGTGGAATCGTGCATGTGGAGCGTCGGAAAGTGTGTGGTATAACTGGTATATTCGGGCTTACTTCTGCGAACAGATAAACGAGGATTAGTGGGATGATCTAGGAAAATGCATTCATTTCTATAAAGGAACCATTAGCTTTGTCCATGCCATTAAATATTAGTTTTATGGAGAAGATGGGAAGGAACTTCAGTAATTTCTCAACACGACAGTATTTTTAAAAGTTAAAAATTAAATTTAATAAAAATTCCAAATGGAAAAATGTTATGGAATATTTATTTTACATTTTAATATAAATTTACCGATTATAGATTTAAACCATTAGGAATCTCCTATTGTAAATCGCGTTCAAGCCGCATAAATATCAAAAAAATTCCCCAAGAACGTGGAAAAACTGCGGCTGTCACCCAATAAGAATGTCTTATGATTCATGACTCATCTGAATCATCAAGGTTTTAATTTACTTTCGACCCATCCCATCTTCTCGACGTGTTCTCGGTTATTTTTTTTAGTTTGCATTACCTTGGGACTCTATTTAATTGCCGCATGCAATTAAAATGTTTCACAAACAGTGTTAAATTTTCAGTGACAAATTAGTAACGTTCTTAAGCTTTAAGCTAGTAACTTAGATATCTTAGATATATATTAAAGCTTATGTAGATATCGTTTAGTTAGAGGTCAGTAAATGCATTCGGGAACTTAGTTTCTCAAGTGCAAGAGTTACAATTATCCAAACAGTTATAGCTTAGGTGTAGTATACATATAAGATTGATGGCACAGAGCACAATGATGGCTAGGATGAAATCACAAAATAGTACCTGTTGTTCCCCAAATTGTAGTCTAAATGGCGGATTGTTAAAGATTAAAAAGAGGTGTGTGATCGTGTGTATATTCCATGGAAGCATTACAGAGGCGGGTGTGGAAGAAATAGGAAATTTAGATGGGTTAATCGGGGCGAGATCTGGTCTATTGTTAGTCGATTTGAAAAAAAAATGGCAAAGAAAATTCCACCTCCTGTTGCTGCTGCCAAAGAGAGCTGAGGTTGCAGATTTCAGCTTTCAGCTCTAGCTACTGCAGAATCGGCCCTAATTAGACTGCTCCAATTGCAATTTGCTGCCATTAACGTCAAGAGCCGGCAAAAAGTGGCCAACTGATTTGCATGCCAGCGGAGCGTGAAGCCAGCTAAAACCGATTCCAGCAGCAACTGCCACCAGCAACTTGCAACTTGCACCACCAACTGGCCAGCAGCAACTACACACAGAAAACAAAACTGCATAGAAAAAAAACAACCAAAAAATTTGATAAATGCGTTTTGGAAAGTCCTATATAATTTAAAACCTGACACGTATTTTTTTATCTTAAAAAAAATAATTATTTACTGCTGCAACTAGACCAAAATAAAATATTTTTAATATAATAAATCAAATTGTATTGATAAAGGACAACAAAATGATTATGGATTTTTCTAATCTATGCATTTAAATTAAGATTGCTTATACCTTCGAATCTGAAGTTCAGTTCATTTTCTATTTATAACTACATAGATATAGGGCTTATATTCCCAAATGAAAATATAACAATGTTAAAACAAAATCACCAAAAAATGAAAATGCAAATATACTTCTTATGTTAATGCTAAAAACCTTAAGATAAAAATTTTCCCCCTAGTGTATAAAAATTAACAAGCAGCAACAGGCGGCATCGTTTTGTATTAGTTTTGTTAGTTTGCGGCCGCGCAGCTGCGGTTGATGAAAAGCCCCCAAAATTACAACCAAGTATTACACAAAATTACCGAAACACATAAACAAAATGCAGAAAAAATACAGGTAAATAATGCAGTAAGGGGGTACAAAGTATATGGCCGAAATTGAAACAAACATGAAAGTTTGCCTACCTGGACAAACCCTCCGCACCAATGGCAAGTGGTCGTGTCTGTGAAAGTGGAATCGGAATTGAAATAGTCGATAGCTTTCGGTTAGTCAATGTTGTGCAAACACATATGATCGGCAAGATATGTATATACTATATACACATGGCCCCAAAAGGCCCAACTTACCCGCTCCGTTTGGGTGGCCATGCTGATGAGCTCCTTGCCCGGATCCCCGCCAGATCCATTGGCGATCTTCTGCCTCTTCTCGGCCTCCAATTGCTCGATGAGATCACGCTGCAGGCGGATGGTGCGATCACGATCGTCCACTTGACCCTGGATGAGGAGGGGGATTGGACAAGGGGATATTGAATGGTGAGACCAGTGAGATCAGTAAATGTCAGTTCACTCTTGTGGAGCGAGCCATGAAAGGTCACTAGTGGTTATATCTAAGCCAGAGAGTGTGAAAATCATATCTATATAGGGGTAAAACGCTATCTTGGCTTAGTTTTTGCTTTTTAAGACAGTCATGCTTTGATTATTTTATACAAGTGCTTCGTTTTCTTATTTACGAAATTAGGAAGCCATTTCTTTTTCCTCAATCAAAGCATAGTTTTTACACAACAGCTAAATATGAATATAACTCTTTTAACTATGTATTATGTAAGTGTAGATCAATTTGTATGTAAAAAAAATGGTTAATCAAAGGAGCGATGAAATCATGTTTCTTTTCTTACAAAAAATAAAATATTAATAAAAAGGAATAAGTATTATATTGGGTTTCTTTAAGTTTGTTACAGATTATAATCTGCTCTTTTGATTCATAGTGATCTCTCTTATCAGTATTTTTAGGGTTGTTGTATGATCTGTGTTCTATGGCAAGTCAAAGTGCAAAATTAACTCTTGATATAATACATATCAACACATGTATTTATATAAAATGAATATATTTTGTATTCAAAGATAGATTTACAAAAAGCATAGGTATAGTATTCTTCATGATTGGATATATTACATGCTAGGCTACATAGAGTAAGATTCCATGTATCTAATAAACATTAAAAAACAACAGCGAGAGTAAAAATGCGATAGAAAAGACTTGTCCTGCTCCGAATAGTTAGTTCGGTTTAGGTTGAGACCCAGTTTCTGTGTTCTCCCGGCTTACGAGCAAACGAAATGCAAAAAACGTGCAAATACCTGAAGGTAAACCACCTGTCTACGTAGATCCGATAGCTCCTGGAGCGGGTCCTCCGTCGTCGATGAGGTCAGACTGGCCAGATCGATGTCATTCAGCTGCTTGCTATCCAATCCGCAGGCGGCGAACAGCTGAACGTTGTCGTTCTCGAATGGATTGAGCGTTTCCGTCTGCGGATAGGTAATGAAAACCAGTAGGTTACTTTCCATTCATCAACAACTCCTACAGATATTGCCTTGGGCACAAATAGATAAACAAACTCGAACGTAAGACGGCGACGTACCCGCTTTAAATCAAAATCTGGCTCCTGGGAATTGTGCAAGTGAATGGTGATTGTGAGTGTGAGTGATGGGTGGTATGCCATGGAAATGTAAGGAAAGAAAAGCGCTTTTGAAAGGAAAAACTATGATTGTACTTAAAAATGTAATTTCAGCATAATAGATAAAGGCTTTATATCTTAAATTTTATGACCAAAATTCATTTTACGAAGCATAAAAATATATGATAGGGCCGTTTTCAGGATATAAAACAGTCGGAAATCAAACCTGATACTATTAAATGGGTTGGTTTTTCATTATTTATTGATGGTTATATCGAGTATACTACTATCCAACTATCAGATCAATTAATTTTTTGAAAGACATCAAGGATGATACTTTAATAACAGTCTTAATAAAAAAAACTCATTTGTCCATGGGCATTTGTAAATCTGAGGTAAACAAAACTTTCTCAAAAAATCATATTTACGGCCCCTGAAATGTATTACTATAAAAAGAACGTAGGCACAAATGGTATTTAAATTTTAAGTTTTAAAAAAAGTATATTTCTAAATTACTGTTTATCAAATTTAGATGAAATGAATAGAAAGAAAAAAGTATTTAAATGTTAAATACCAATTAAATTTTAATAGAAATAAGACTTTTAATCGTTTTTTGTGTAATAAAATGTAACGCCCATAAAGCGTATACTTTTAATTTTGGGACCTCTTACCTCCTGGAGTATTCGTCGCAGACGCAGCAGCTGCTTCTTGAACTGCAGCACATCCTGGATCATGGCATTGCGGAAGGACTTGTCATACAACATCAGATCGTCCGACGAGCTGTGCAGCTCGCCCCCGCACCTGTGACCGGATGATCCGGATGCACTAGCTCCTCCTCCTCCACCTGCTCCGCCACCCAATCCCAAGCCCAGGTGCTGCTGCTGCAGGTGACGCTGGCGTGGCAGACTGGCCGTGGAGCCGGACGATGTCCTTGAGTTGGCCGTGCTTCTCTTCCTGGCAGCAGCAGCTGCCGAAGCTCCTCCACTCCGGGTGGACCTCAAGCTATTGTCCGAATCGTTGCCGGTGAGCTGTTGGTCCTGGAGACGCGAGCGGTTCAGCAATCTGGTGGCACGGGCCGGCAACTGGGCGCTGCAAAAGAAAGGGGGTTCAATTAGAATTTAATTAATTTACAATTAAGAAATATATTCATAATTAAATAGAAATATCCAAGAGTGCCTGAGATATGTTTCGTTGGCCTGTGGCGCACTGCTGGCCATATAGGTCGCATAGTGGTAATGGATATGCCGCTGTTTAATGGTCATCGGTGAGCTGGTCCGCTGGCTACTCCCCAGGAATCTATTCTCCGACGTCTTCAAGTCGGTCCGGACTCTTCGCACTCCACTGGGCGGAGATTTGCTCGCCTCCGACATCGCCTCAAGCTGACAAATCGAATTTCTTTTGGGTCGTTGCCTGGACCCTAGAGCTCCATGTTGTGGCTCTGCAAGAATGACACAATCGCGTCATGCGCAGACCACCAACAGCTGTGTGGAGACTTTGGAGAAAAATGTTGTGCGACCCCACTACACTTAGCGAATTTATGATAACGTTGAACATAAGAGATATATTAAATATACTTCAAAAGAAATTCTGGATAGGTGTTTCTTTGGAAGAGGCTATTATGAATTTTGTATAACTTTGATTTAAATTTTATCAAACTTGTGTGGCAATTACACTCAGAAAAAAAGACTTTCTTTCAAATTCAAAAATAAGCTAAGTTCGATTCCATTCCAAATTCACCCAAAAACAAAGTTGAGACATACTGTTATCTATATTTCAAGACCGTTTGAGAGTACCTTCGTCTTAATTTCAAGAACGTTTTTTTCTTATAAGTTGACAAAGCCAATATTTTCATTGGGATCACATGATCTTGTCTCTTTTCCAAAAACAAAGTTGAGACATACTGTTATCTATATTTTAAGACCGTTTGAGAGTACTTTCGTCTTGATTTCAAGAACGTTTTCTCCATATAAGTTGAAAAAGCGAATATTTTCATTGGGATCACATGATCTTGTCTCTTTTCTATTCTCAGTTTCTGAGTTTAAGGACAATTGACAAATAATGTAACCATAAAATGTATGGATTTTAATATAATTGGAATACATCTGATATATAAGTTTAGATATTTTAGTTTTAGCAAATGAAATTTGCCAAGTGTAGGGGTGAGTTTTGCAATTATTTAGCCAGCTTCAATTAACGCGTTCGCAATGAAAGTGAAATGCCATTGATTAGGGCTGGCCAGAGGAGCCCCGACCGGCGGTTGTCAATGGGCAATTAAGATAGGTGAGCAGAATGGGAAGAATGAGGGGTCAGGTGGCGGAACAGGTAACCTGCACGACATGAATGCTGGAAATAAATCCACAGACGCGGCTGCCTTTCAGCTGAATGGTGAAAGTCAACTGTTGCGTGTTGCAGTCACCCAAAAATGCAGGGGGCTATAAAGAGGGATTGGAGGAAGAGGGCTCTTACACATGCGCAGTGTTCAAAATTTTACGCCATAATTCAAAACAAACTGTTGAAAATCGTCTGTAAAGCAAACAAAAGGAAAAAATCATTCAAAGATAGTTAGCTCATTCGATTATTCACGGTTGTATCCAAAAGGTTAATGCCTAATGGATTTCGGGTCTTCTATAATACCCGCAATTATAGCGATATTTCGGTTAGTGGATCCATTACGACAAAGAAATTAATTCGAGCATCTCACGGATTTTTTGTGAGACTTTCCTCTGGTGAAGTTAATGATCGGAGTTCAGATGGTAAGTTCCAAGAGTAATTGGCCCCAGGGAACTGGCACGGCGGCAATTTGAATATTTGAATCTGCGAACTTTGTTTATGGTCGCATTAAGATGATCGCGAATCGCACGAAATGGACTGTGAACAATTTTCAGCTCATCTGGAGCGGCGATGAAAGTACGAAAATATGTTGTATTGTTCCGGGGTCCCCTTCTATTTTCACCGTTAGCTCGTCGGCGTTATAAAGGTTCTCAGCACTCTTTCATTTTAATTAATATTAAATTCCCTGCTGTGATGGTAGGAAAGATCGGAGAAGCAGATAGAAATTGATTTATTTCCTGAGTAATTCAGACAATTTTATTTATTTTCCAATTTAGATGGTTTAATTGATAAGAAACCTGCCTTAAAATGATTTTTTCATAATCAAATGTTAAACTATAATACATGATCCTTTAATTTTGGAATGGATAACATTATTCCTATATTATTTCTTCAAGTTTCCACTTTATTTATAAGATAAATACACAATGAACAGTTAATTAAACATCATGTTTTCTTATAATAATTAAAAATCCACAATTATTAACTTCTAATTAACCAATTTAGGTAATTCGCGAAGCAACCAAACCGAAGCCAAAAGTTCAAATGGATTCACTCGACTGTTTCCAAACATAAAGCAATTAAAGTGAACATTATGTCCAAACCATAAAACACAAAATACACTTTCCCAAATCCCACACACAACCATTCAGCTAGCAAAATTCCACATGTTTGTGAGTTTCGCACGCCAACTTTATACGGTTTTTGTACTATGAATATGAATGCAGAAACCAGGCCCGAAGAGATCCGCCGAAATCAAAACAATGCGAGTACTTTGCACAACTCAATTCAGCGAAACTCGGCAGGCGGTAATGCCGGATATTTCGTACTCTAAACAAAAAACAAACCGATTGTCAGACGACAAAATGCCTGTCATTGCAACAAGTGCAGCAAATGGATTTATATCTATATACATATATGGCAATATTATCATGGGAGTAGAGAAGGGGGTAATTTAGGTTTATGCATCACTATTACCGTGATTCACTCTGAGATATTGTCATTAGTTAAAAAGTATCTTGAAGGACTCAACATTTCTCAGGGGATCTATGAATCTTGGATAACAGGAAAAATGATTCATATGATCACTTTAGAAAATAGGGCCTTTATCAGCATTACTAATTATCATAATATATTTTATGCTCTGTAATTAAAAAACAGTTTTTTTCATATTTCTTACTTAAAAAAAAGTTCCACAAAAGTATCTAACAGTATCTTTAACCCTCTTAAATATAAGCAAATGTTGAAGAGACCTATTTTCCATGAAATTTGGAAATAAGATCTAGATATGTCAGTAAAATGGTTTCGTAAACGTGTTTATTATGTTACGTGATGGGGGTTTAAGCACACCGTTTTTTTTATTTCCGATGATAAGCTTTTCCGAAAAGTAAACAAAGAGCCCCTGAAGTTTGCCCCGTGGCTACGCACCTGCTTTTCAGCTACCTTTCTACACATTTAGTACAAATGTGTCTCATTTGTGACTCCACACGCGCCACTGCCAACGGCAACTGTCGCTAACTTGGCTCACTTGGTTTGGCTGCAGCTGCAACACACAGCACACAACAGTTAACAGTCAACTACCAACAATGACAAGTAATCATAATCATATTGCGATCCATGGAGTTGAGGCGTTGACATGCACTACTCGAACTTCACTTCCCAACGGTACTTATCAATTTGTGCGGCAAAACGTCATTTGTCATAGAGTCGGAGACCTTTGGGGGCTGCACATATATGTGGTATAGTACCTATCTTTACATACATATATGTGTAGGAAGATATAGGAAGGGGAAGTGGAAATGGAAAGGCAGCTTCATTAGAGGCCCCGGGAAGGGGGCGCGAGCTGCAAGCCACGCAAGTAATGGTAATGGTCATAAAAAATAAAGAAATAACCAACATTCTCACACGGCCGCCTCTGATGAGAATCCGGTGTGTATCTCGCATGCCCAGAGTTCTACGTTCTCCACGCAGAGAAAAACTACATCTTAGTCAAGAGATCAAAACTTTTTCTGATCGTATTTTGGTCTAATATTGTTAGAAACAACTATTCCTAGTTGCATTTAAGCACAAGCTAAGAAATCAACATTTCAGATCATATTCTGATCTTATACTATTAAAAACAAATATTCCAAGTTGTAAAGGATTAGATAAGCACAAGCTAAACAATATAATGTTTCAGAGGTTTTTTATCTACCTTTATACATATCATATTAAAGGTTAAGCTACCTTTATCATAATAAAAAATTGTATATAAATATGATATAGGTTCTTCTATATCTTTAATGATAAGATCACTTCACCTCCTGATAATAGGAATAATTTTTAACTCAAATATGTAAAAAGTAAAGTTTTTTCGAGTGTGTGAGCCGAGGATGATGATCAACGATGGTTAAGATGGGGATATGCCCAGAGACAGTGTTTTGGGGCTGGGGAATTCGGAGTTGGGGAGCACTTTCGAGGCAGACAGGTAGATAGGAAGGTAGGCAGAGGCAGATCCAACAGCAGAGGCAGCAGCAGTTATCTGTATCTGTATTTGCACTCGATGGTATGTTGGTAGTTTGTGTGGCAAACATTCTGTTGAATTATGCATGGCGATGGCGATGGAGATGGAGATGGGAACCCGTACTCGTACTCGTATCCGTAACCAAAACCTGAACGCGTCGCAAATGCAACTGAACTTGAAGTGGCTGAAAAGCCATAAAAGGGGGCACCTCGACCCCCGGATGCCCCTTTCTTTATGTGCCTGATATCTATAATTGTTACGTTTATGGCATCAAATTCCAAAAGATTTTCCAAACGTTGCCTGCATTTGCATGTGACACACTTTTTAGCCCATTGTGTTGGGCCTACCCCTGCTCCCTTTCTTCTTTTTTTTTTTGCCCCCGGTTGCATATCGAATTACGCAAAGCTAAGAGCGGAAATCATCACCCACTTTGGCTACCACTTGGCTAAGGTTTCTGGGCTTTCTGTAGCTTCTGACTGCCTTTGTTAGCCCTGCCAGAATGGGCCGACAATTCGTTTCGTAAATACGCAATGTACTAAAGAACTGAACTACAGTCGTAATTCAGTAATTCCGTCTGGAGCTTGTGACGTATTTTCTTCTCAGAGAGATAGGACATTTTCGGAATTTAAAATTTGGCTATCAACATATTTTAATATGTTTAAGCAACACTAAGTGTAGTGCTTTTATAAAAATATCATTGTTTTCTATTTACCCTAATAGTTTGTAAATCGACTTACATTTTAGTTCGCTTTAATAAATAGGCGCTTAAGATCTATTTGCTTAAGTTTTTCTTATCAAATGGTGCACAGCTTTTTTAAAAGTGGTTATAAAATCATTTTAAAGATTATGAAGATAAATAATGTCGTTATTGGATACCAAATTTCATGAGTGAGGCACATAAAATGTTATATTATTATCTTTCTGAGATATAGAAGCTTCATTTTTCACATTCATTTCATAAAAGTCCCACCGTACTTCTTCTACTCACTCGAATCTGCGGGTCTAGGCCAAATGCGAAATGTATCCCAGGCAAAACGCTCGTTTCATTGACACTTGTGCCCCGCGGCGTGTCTTTTATTATGAAAGCTGGTGTTTCGATGGCGTCGGCGTTGGACCGCCTATATGTATCTGTATCTGTATCCGAATCTGAAGCTTTGGATGGGCTGGGAGTATCTGTATCTGTGGCATGGAAGAGGCAACAGTGCGTATCACTGGAGGCGACGACTGCCTGCGGTCACTGGCTCTTGGTTTTGATTATTTTGGTTTTATATTTTGTTTCGGTTGTTAACAACGCAATTTTATTGGACTACGCAATAGCTCCCACGCGCTTTTTTGGAACAACGGCTCTTGCACAATTTTAGCAATATACAATTGCCTTTATTGGCAGTGCTCTTTAAACCGATATTGCTGATGGAATGATATTGGATTACGAATATAATTTATTTTTGTATCGGGGAGCTTAACGCACAGCACTCATAAACCGAACCGCACGCTTTGAGATCTTGTTTAATACTGGAGCCGAAATCGAAGTTGGAGTGCTGATGGAGTGGTATGATATGGTAATGGAACATGACAGTGGTTTACTAAGCGCTGATCGGGGGATTAAAAAATTACCTAAGGGGGAGAACTTTTATGGTTAAAAGAAAAATGTACATATTTTCTGATCCTATATTTGGTATTTTGATCGAATACTGTGATTTTCTTTGTTTTTTTTTAAATGCAATAAAAGTGAAAAGTTTTTAGGAATGCACATGGATTTACCTACACTCTCTATAACACCTGAACAGTCTATTACCATCTTTAAAAATATGCTAACATCTTCATCGATAAAAAAAAAATAATATTTAAAAACAGGTGAAGATCTTTAGAAAAGTATTTTAAAAAAATGAAGAAAAAGAACGCTACACATTTTTATTTTATTTCTCACAACGTAAATATTTCATTAACCATAGACCCACTGTAATTGGTTGCTGTTGTTACCAATGTTTCGCTTCTCCACCGTTCCCGCCAGCAACAGCAACGGCAACAGCAACATCAGCAGCAGCAGCAACACCGCTCACACCAGCAACATGAGCGGCCAGCAGTGGTAAGAATGTTGCTGGTGGGTCGAAAGAGTTGGTCGTGTGGGTCTGGGCCGCTTTTGTTAACGTTCTCAGAGTGTGTGGCACAGCCGTTAGACGATGCTGGCTGAACAGCAAAAAAAATGAAAGAAAGGCACATCTCTTGTTGGTGCAGACAAGAGCAATAGCCATAATATTTATGCAGCCGGAATGCCGAGATGGGGATCACAATGCGGCTTTTGTTGCATCCGCGTGAGCGGGTTAACTGAGAGGCAATAATAACTCAGATTGAGTGGGCTTATTCAGCACTTTGTCTGAGAAGGGGGTGAAGGAGGGGGGGGGGGGGACCTGGCCATTATTATATATATGACTCATTCACTGGCCAGGCCGGCTGAAGCCAGTCTCAAGGTTAATCCACAAGTGCGGTTTTGCATGTGACTGGTGGTTTTACAAAGTATCTGCAGCTGGCTCTTTCCAGATTGGCCTTCTAATGTTGGCCACAATCTTGGCTTAAGTTAAAAAGAAAAAAAAAAGAGGAAAAAAGGAAAGCCAGTGTCCCGACGCAGGCGCATCTATTGGATCCATCGAGTGACAGGTTAAACCGCAACAACACATTTAGCCATGGCCAGCGGCATTTTGCAGTTATTTGGCTGTTGGCTGCGAAACAGGTTCACATATATTCACCCGTCTTTATGTAGAGGCAGACAATTGATTTTTCCTAGCAATAAAGTTTTTCCCAACTTTTGGCTAGAGCCAGAAACGACTCCATCGATGTTGATGTCGTGCCGTTGCCGGTTGTTTTTGTTGCTGCTGTTGCAAGTGTTGCTAGTGTTGCTGTTGCTGTTGCTGTTGCTGTTGCTGTTGTGACTGTTGCTAGTTCGTTGCCATGACAAAAGAATGCGGCACTCGCCATCAAGTCTCCGGCCAAAGTCAAAATGTTATCTTAACTACGACCACGATTTGGCCAAAAAGCCAAGACCCAGTCTAGAGCTCCCATAGATAGAGACGGGAATGCCACACAGAGAAAAAAATCATGATGATTTATGTTAGTACAAATTCTAAAAAAAGAGAGACAGTAGAAAGATACCAACGGTTGGCACACTGTACTTGTGGCGGCAGAGAGAAAGCAGAGTTATTACTTATGCTCGCACCCGACACGAGTATAGATCTCATTTGATCTATGAGAATAATACTCGAATTGGGTATAAAGTATTTTGAATTTTTTTAACATAGGGAAAAGTGGAAGCGGAACCAAAATAATAAATGGGCTAAGGTTGAATATTTTAAGTCGCAATTATTCTTAGTTGTTATCAGAAATCCTTTGAAAAATGTTAAGGGTATTATCTTGAGTTTGAAAAACTTAAGTATATGGTTAGGGCTATCTTTAAATACTCCATATAAAAATCCAAAAATGTATTAAGAATGGTTCATACAAGAATGTCAATGCTGTGGGATATCTCGATAATACATTTCTATATATAGAAGGATACCAGGAATATCCAAATATTATAAATAATATTTCTTTCTGTGCAAAAGAAAAAGAGAGGTGGTGGTGGGAGGCATAGACAATTGGAAATGCCAAGTGCCGTTGCCGTTGGTCGCGTCTTTGGCTTTGGCTTCGCCCAGAATGCACAAGGCCCACACAGAGTGGTTGTTGTTTTTGTTGCCGGCTGCAGCATTTTGGGCCATAAACATGCCCCAATGGCTATCCCCTTCTCTTTCTGGTAGCCGGCGCTAAAACACGGCAATTGGAACCGACAACGGGAACTGCAATGGTAATGGGAATGGGAATGTCGGATGGATATGGATGGAGACGCCAATGGGTTCGCCAATGGAGTAACCTTTGGCAAACACAGACGAACCTGTGAGTTCCAACCTGTCCCTGTCTCTGTCCCTTTGGCTGTCCCACCGATGTCTGTCTAATTTTGGGCTAATTTCAATTTCCATTTCCATTTACCCTTAAAATAAAAGTGGGCGGGGCAGCTGGGGGCATAGAGAAGGGCGTGCCATGCCAAAGCTGTGAGTTGGCCAAAGTAAATTGCATTTGATTAACCCCAGAGCGCCCTTTGGCAAACAGAGAAGCAAACAAACAAGCCAACACGTGAGATTCACTGGCTGTTTGTTTTGGTAGCTAAATCAATTGATGAATATTTCTGGATGTGCTTGGCAATTTACATTAACACTAAAGTTTAGAGGGGGTTTTTATTGCCACTATTTACAGGTCTGGGAATGAAGTTTTGAGGGTGTTAGTCAGGGAGAAATTGATTAGACATTTTATATCCTAGTTCAACAACTGAGATTGTAATATATGTTTAAAAGTATAATCTATTAAAATATTTTTTATAATTTAAGTTTTATAATATATGTAAGACCCTTTATAGCATGCTTTAAAAATGTAAATAAAATAGACATTCTAGATAGTTTTTAGTTTACTTTAATGGTCTTAGACATTTTTGCAAATACCCAAACCTAAAATCGTTTTCAAATCGTTATCATCTTTATAACATCTTCGCTTTAATGATCCTATATTTTTTGCATGTTATTTATTTTAAAATAAACGTAGAATTTATTATACTATAAATAATTTATAGTTACTTTATTATTATTTTATTTATTACCCCAAGGTCCTAATTGGCTGCCTTTCTAGGGCTAACTTGAGTAATCTTCTACCGGCCGGCTGAAATTTGTCTAGCAGCCAAAGTGAGAGGAAGGCTGCGCTAAAAAAGGGGAGAGGCTGCTGATTGATTTGCAGCACCTCAAGTGAAATTGGGTTGCCGGGGAGCAGGGGAAAACTGCCGGGAAAATGCACTTAATAATATTCCAACAGTCGCTGGCCGACAGCCAAGTGCAGGGCTAATAAAACCAAATCAAAGGCGATTCAAAGAGCCACCACCGCCACCGCATTTTCTGATTCAATGCAGTCAATTCAATTAGCTTTGGATAGGTAAGGGTAATCGAAATTGTTCCAAAAACCAGAGATCCCTTTCAACAGATAAAGTAGAGGGCGTGAAGGCATGTTTCAAGTATGATTGCTAGTTGAGATGCCAAGTTACGTGAGACCATACGAATACATATCTTAAGGCCGTTTTATAGCATGAACTCTTGACCTATTTAAGAATCTCTATAGAGATTTCCCTATAGGGGAATATATGTTCGTTTGGTCGTTACATCATGACTTATATTCCGAATAATATATTAAATCCTCTATCAGAGAATAAAAGTTATATCAGTTTACTACAAAAGGACTTTGAAACTTACCTTATTCTCTCCCTTGGTCCTCCGCGCTGCCTCCTTCCTCTTAACAAGGTATTGAGCTCCTTCATCACATCGCTGCCCTTGCGCTCCAGTTCCGAAAGAAGTTCCGCCTCGGTCTCCGCCTGCATGGGATCAATATCCTGGCCAATTCTGTGTAGATCCGAGCCACTACGACTGCGTCCCGTGGCATTGGCCATGTGATCGATGGAGTCCACACTGCTGTTCATATCGAAGTCCATCATCAGGTCATCGGAGCAGATGGATTCGCAGGGCGATAGGGTATCCAGGGATTCAGCTCGATCCATCACGGCCTTCCGCACCGCCGCTGGAGTCCTCAAACTCAGCTCGATGGCCTGCTGCAGAGCTGTTCGAGCCTTGGACTGACTCTTCAGGGATCGCAGCGATCCCGTCTGGGTGTGGGTGAGCGTTTCCATCAAAGTGGGCGTATCTGTGGCCACCTCGTGGGCTTCACTGTTGCAAAGCAAAGCTGGCTGATCGGCGATCTCATCATCTATAAGATTTCCACAATCCGAACCCAAGGACAGAGAATGGGAGGCGTGAGTGGGTGTGCCCGGGGAAATGGGACTACGGCCGCCTGGAGGATCAAGATCGAGTTCCAGTATCGGGGATATATCATCTATATCGATGTCGTCGATGTCCTTCTGCTGACGCTCCTCATTCAGCTTGTGCTTCTGCAGCTTGCCACCTGCCTCCTCCGAATCCTCGGTGCTGCTGACCAAGCTATCCGTGGGTGAGGTCTCATCATCCAACAGGAGGCAACTACTACTGGCCAGGGCCAACTCAGCAAACTTGGATTCATTGAGAGCATTATTGAAGGAGCGGGGACGTGAAGTGCCCGCCTCCCGATTGTCCACCAGGTGGAGATTGAGCAGTGGCTCCTGACCCATTCTGGGTGGAGTTTCCGTCATCGAAGCTGGTCAAGATTGGAAGTTATTAATATTACGAAAGATTTCTAAGATAGAAACCACTTACAGATTGTGCTAAACTGCATGTCGGTGTTGATCAGACTGATCTCATCCAGACCCAGGGACATGTCCTCCTCCTTGTCATTATCCCTGGGATTCTCCGGTGCCTGGGTATCGCTGCTGATGCTCATGCTCATGCTGCTGCAATCCTGGGCGGCCAGAGATTCACCCGCCTGCAGGAGCCAAGTGGAGGCCACCGAGGATTGACTATGATGGTTTTTGGCACTCTTCTCGGAGGTGGACGAGTCCAGGTAGAGCTTCTCCTCGTCCACACTTTCGCTCTCATCGGAGCCACTGTTCTTCGGCTTTTCTGGTTCCCCATCCCGCTGATCTTGGCGATCCTGAGATCCTGGGGTCTCCGCCTGCCGACGCTCGTAACTCTCGCGACTCAACACCGTATTGGATCGTACCAAACCCAATAATGGTAGAGGAATACTCTGACTTCCATCAGTGGGTAACTTGGGAAGTGCCAGGGGTTCCACAAAGGAATTGGACTCACTGGAGGGCGGATCATCGGCATCGCGCACCTCGAAAGTGTGCCTGCCACTCATCACCATCTTGAGGTTCCTGGGCCGACTGCGACTCCTCTTGGAACCCACTGAGCTGCCCGAACTGCTGTCCATGGCCATGTCCATGCTGGCTATTCCCGAATCGGCACTAATCTCCCGGCTGCCGGAGAATCCTCGTCGCGTAGAGTTGTTTGTCAGCTGCTTCACGCTCTTCTGGTCGAGGTGACGTGACTGAGGTTGGACATGCACAGAGGTCAAGGGATGCTGTCGCGAGCTGGTGGAGATGTCCTTGGCCCGGGCACCTGTCGAATGGGCGGGCACCGGTGACTGGACACTGCTGCTGGGCGTGGTCGGTGTGGTGGCTGTCAAACTGATGGCCACTGGGTACTCCGGCCTTGGTAGGCTCACCGTCTGCAGGGTGAACTTGGCATAGCTGGCTGGAGGGGGTCGCGGTGTGGGGCGAACTCTGTGAAAGGTCAATCAAATGGTCCAATTATTGTCAACTATGGTAGATATAAAATATTTTTGTGAAGGTTTAATAACATCATTTAATTGTCGTATAAAAAATATCTCAAATTCTATTAGTTTAAGCTTAATATTCTCACTTTCACCTATTTAAAATAGTATGATTTAGTAAAAATTAATTTTTTTCTCCTTTGAAAAAACATTTTTACAACATTTTTTTTGTAAGAATATCTTTAGAATTAATTTTCTCAACATAATCTCTAAGATTTTATTAAAATAAATATTTTAAATTGGTTTTTTTGTCTGATGGATTTTATTACACACTATAGAGGGTGTTTTCTTGTCCTCATGTTAAACCATAAGATGAATAACACCTCTAAGTTTCCACACCTTTCCAGGTTCTAAACATACTTTTAGTTAAACATGAGGACAAAGAAAATTGCCCTAAACGTAATATATTAAATGCCTATATATCACTAGTTAGAGAACTATGATATTTTCATGAAGCTTTTATTATCTAATATTTTATAAAGGTTTCTATAGGGATTACTCACATGACATTGGCATGCATGCTGGCCAGGTTGTTGTAGTTATAGCGCGGCTGCATAGCCCTCGATCCCGATACCGATCCTGATCCCGACCCAGATCCCGATCCCAGTCCGGAACCCGACGTTTCGTCCGCTATCTCGCCGAAGAACTGCCGCCGCTGGTACTCGATGGTGGTGTTCTGGTTCAGGTTGAACGTCAGCGTTTTGGGCTGGGCTATTTTGGGATCCCCATCGCCGGATCGTCCCGCGTGTGCGCTCTTGGAGCGACGTTTCACTGCGGGAAAATCGAAAGGGAGTTTTATTGGAGGCCGAAATAGTGAAGTTTTTAGTTTGATACTCACAATTGCTCACCAATACCGGACCATTTCCCGCTCCACGACTATTATTGTTCTGATTGTTGTTGTTGTTCTGGGCATTGGCCGTCGATTCGGATTCGGATTCTTCGCTGGGCGCAGTTAGGCCCGCAGAAGCGGGGCGTGGCACCGCCCCACGATAGCCGAAACGTCCACCGGCCGCACCTGCCACCAAAGTCCCAGTCTTCTGGGCAGCGGCGGCGCCTACTTTCTCAAAGTGAACGGGTGTAGCTGTCCGGGAAAATAATGAAAATGAATATGAGAATGGGAATGGGAATAGGAATAGGACGATTCCAATGAATTGTTGGCATGTCAACTCATTGTTAAATGGGCCAAATTGTCGCCAAATTAAAAAGCAATAACACTTTGTCAGATATTGCCATTTTTAGGAGGTATATAAGGCCATTGTACTCTACAAAATAAAAGCCGGAACTAAAAATAAACGGGAAATCTTAAAATATAACTACTTTAATTTTAAATTTGATAGTAATGTATTTAACTTATTTGTATGATTTTGGGCTTTTCTAAAATAACGAATTCAAAAACTATTATTATTCGTTATTTTAGAAAAGTATTAAAGGTTTTATACTTCCTCCTAATAGGTTTAATAGTTAATAAAAATATAATATTGTTTTATATTTAATTTAATTTTTTATTCATTTATTTTCTATGTTTTAACTTGACAACTTTAAATCCTTGACCAAAACTTAAAGAACCGTCTTTTAATCAGACCTTAGCTTTAAAATTATTAATTAAAAGTTTAGAAAATATATTATTGGTTTAAAATTTATGATAGCATAGTGAAGGCTTTTCTTAAAGTCTTTGACCAAATCATTTCCCCAGTTTGCTAGCAAATAGAACCGTTTTATTACCTCCCCAAAACCGGCATTTCCTCGACTCACCTGCATTCCCATTGTCGTCCTTTGTGTCTGTGCGAGTTGCGCTTTTGTCGCCGTTTCCTTCCAGGAGTTTCTTGAACTTCTTGGGCGTCCCATTGAGCTTTTTGCGGAAGCCAAAGGACATGGCGGTGCCTTTGGTGTGCACCGTCTGATTCGGATCCATCGCCTCCGAGGGATTGCCATTACTATTGCCGTTGCCATTGTGGTGGCGTCGACTTGACTTGCTGCCCTGCTTCTTGCTCTCCGCCTGCCCCTAAAACGGTAGAAAGTGGGAGAAAGGGTTGGGGAAAGCGATTAGGATGAAAGCGAAACACATTTGCAAATCGGGTCAGCACAGATGAGAGGCGCACGGAAACAAAGGAGCCTCGAGGACTTCCCTGGCAAGAGACAACATACAATAGAATATATGGCTATTAGCTAACTACATGAGTCACTCGGTGCTATACGAACAATAACTATTTGCGAGATACTTTTCACGAAATCATGATAACTATCAATATGGTGGGGTATATATAATATAGTAAGCGATATGTTTTGATTGTTCCAGGCACGTAAAATATCTACAGGTTTTTGGTTTCATCATAAGTTAAGGCAATAACACAATATAAAAGATTATTTCTCAATATATAGGCTTCAATCCAAAACAAACCCACTTAAACGGCACATATATCTTTATAAAATTATGATGATGATATAAAAGTGATGATCTATGGTCTCTAAAAAATGTTTTTATATCCGTGACTCAAACTTGCGAGGGAAGATGTTCGGAACTTTAAAAATCAAGATGCACTCATTGTATATATATTTCTAAAAGCCAAAGCTATCTACAAGTTGCATTCCTAAGATACATTTTTCAAGTGGTACCATTATAACTGCCTCGACTTCCGCGTCGACTGCTGCGTCCTCCTCGACTGCTAATTTCCGAAGGTCCTGCTCTAGGAGCGCTTCCTTATCATCGATGTTCGGCTCTTTGTGACTTATTTGGTGCTCCTGATCGGAATTTTCCGCGCTCGGCTCGGCGACCCCCTCGTTTTGCAGCTGTGATGTGAATTTCTCTATCGAAACGACGACGGGGTTGTCGCATTCATCCATTTTGCAGGTCGTCGGCAGGGGAACTCGCTTTTCCGGCGAGCCTCCGTCCGTTTGCTCGACTCCACCCGGGAAGTCGTCGTGATCCTTGAGTAGAAAAGTTCCGCTTCAGGATGCAGTACGGCTATGTTCATGACACGGCCGAAAACGGCGCACAAATTACGCCATTTATAATTGCACTTGAGCCGCACACAGATACACAGCGAGTACCTGCCAGTACACCCACACGGGGGTCCTTGAAAACCAAACGGCTTGCTTTTGCTGGAAAAATCTTTTGCAGATTGCTCGCACTTTTCACGCCTCAGGTTATGCAAACGTTTTTCCCACTACTTTCTGCCTTATCTATTTGCAATTTTCTTCCTGATTTCGTTTTTTTTGCTATTTGTTGTTTGGTTTTTTATAGTTTTGTGAGTTTTTTTCTTCTGCTGCGGCAGAGTGGCGACAATTTTTCACTTGTGAAAGCACGGCAATCGGAAAATTGAATGGCGAGCTGAAAATTCTCACGGAGCAAATGGGTTTCCCTGACTTCTTGTGGTGGGTCTTGTCGTTATACTCTCTTTGGCTTGACCACAGGGGGAGAAAATGGAAAATAGACGGTGAGAGAATTCCCAGTGTTCGCTCATGCGCAGATCGGGGAAAAACAAGTGGCTGTTCGGAGATAATGGTCTAAAATCGGGGGTGGCTGGCTCTGGCGCCATCTAGCGGCGTGGGTGGTACTTAGCTGGGAAACGAACCAAGGCAGGTGGAAAATGCATTAAAGATACTGTATCTTTTAAAGTAAAAACTTGTATTATTACTTTGTAAAATAAAAAAATATATATTTCGTTCAATATATTTTCACATGTTCCCCCAAAAAAAGTATTGGACTCATAAAATGAATAAGTTTGACTTAAAAAGATTTAGTTTTGCAGGATGAGTTAAGGAATTTAAAGATTACACAGTAATGAATGCCTAATTAACTTTTTTTGTGATTATGGTTACATTTTAACATCAAATTGATATTACATTACAGTGAAATAAATTTCATATGCCTAACCCATTTCTATATAAACATGACTAATAACTTTCATATACCTAACCTATTTCTATATAAACATGACTAATAACTTATGATTTTGAAATATTAATCCTTCCAAAAAACTATCCCTTAAAATTAAGACATCCAAAATTTTAATTCTTTCAAAAAAGACGGATATGAAGCAAGCTGTGAGACATGATTTTCCTTTCTTTCATGCTCAGTGATTCATGTAAAATTCAGATGTAATAAGCCCTCCGAGATATTATCCAAGTAAAATAAAATTTGGTTAAGGTCAATTGCCAAAGGGGGGATGGGAGTGGGTGGGATAAAACGCTTCGGTTAAGTATGAAAGATGATATGTGGGGGGAGTGAGGCATTTTCGCCAGCCCTTCCCGCCCCTCACCATCTAGGATGTTTATGTAAAATTACCTTGTAATAAGCCTTAGGAGAGAAGGAATATGAATATGTGAGCCCAAACTTTTAATGGGAAGGCTGGGGTAAGTGATTCTGGAAAATGAGTGAGGGTCTGGGGTTATTTAGCCTAAATTTCTTCACTTTTATACTTTTTTATTTACTTTTTAAAAGGGGACCTAACTAATGATAGACACTTTAAAGTATCCTTAAGCTTTTGGTGTATATTTTGAATAGGCCCAGCCATGTTTTTTCACTTTCCTTTAGAAACAATGAATATCGAGGTGGACAATAGTCTGGCGAATGAATAGATTGTTGACCCACAATCTACGACACCGCATTTTCGCCAGTCTCAACTTTCCAGACCCGGAGTTCGCAACTTATTGATAGTGCCTCGCCAGAAGCCTCAAGTGAGTTGTAAACATTTATCAATATTACTCACCGCCAGCCAGCCGTTGTTCTCGACTGGTAATTGAGGTTCTGGCCTTATTCTGGCCTGGTTATTCAGGATGTGGCTGGAGGATAACTCCTTCTCCTGCTCCTCCTCCTGCTTTTCGATGGCCTGCAGCAGTTCGTGCAGCAGGAATTCCTGGCAAGTGGAGTACTCCGATTCGCGGAGTGATGTCAGTGGTTCCGCTGGGGCGACGGCGGCATCATTGTAAAGGGATTCGATATGCAACACGGCCTGCTCCGGTTGCCTCCGCCGGCTGATGGTGTAATAAAAGGGCTCCTCCTGCTGGGATGATGATGGCCTGCCTGCTATGTATTCATTACTCGCTGTCAACTGTTGCCAGATTTTGTGCGCCTGGGCCAAATCTTCGTGGGACAGTGCGATTGTCAATACAGATTGATGATGTTCCGCGGCTGGGGACGCGAGTTCGTGGAGCGGAGGCGACTGCCGGGAGACGCACTTGCCCATGGCATCTTATGGGTTTGGGGTTTCTGTGGTACCACGTCTTTGTGCTCCTTTCTGGAATGCAAAAAATAAACAAAATATTACCAAAATGCGTCAGCGATTCGAAATAGCTTCTGTCATTTCCTTATCAAACTGACATTTGAATAATGAGAAACAATTGGTTTTGTTTGAGCGGGTCAAATATGCATGTTGCATGTCAATCAGAATAAAAAAGCATTTTAAGTTAATTAAATTATTTTCAAAATTGTATTAAATAGGTTTTCCTAAGGTCAGAAAAATGTTATAGATTCATGCTTATACTAAGGAACAAGTATACGTGGTATATAGATAATATTTTTTTTGTACTATCCGATTTATAGTGATTCTTGGTTGATATATCAAGAAGATTCGTTATTAGTCTTATCCTTAGTATAAATATGGTCTTAAATAATAATTTATCAAGGATTATTTCACATATAAACCGAGGTATTGGAATAAGTATTCAGATTTTTTGGTATTTCATTTACAAAACGGAAACAAAATCAGTTTAATAAAACAGACAAGATCGAAATAAATAGGCTTTAGGTATAGAATTTTTAGAACAAGCTCGAAATTTGATATTCCTAATGAAAAAATATTTAAAACATAGGAACAAAAGTCGTCTGTTTTTTTTTTCATGTAGGAGTGAGTTCATCAGAAGATTCAAATGAGCAGGTTGGCTATACTATAAGATCCTCCCCGCACGGCATATTGATATGCTGGGAGCTCGTCTTGCCTGCGGTTGGCGTGCAGGTAATTATACACCTGTCCCGCCCGAAACCACCAAACACCCCTCAAACTGCCCCGAGCGAAACCCCAGCCCCAAACCCCTCCTTGGTCGAGTCCATTGCCATGGCATTATGCCGCGCTGCACGTTTTTTATTAAATTTTATTAGAGTGCAGCACATGCACAACACGCGGACGGGTAGGAGCGGACCGACCCCAGATCCGGATTCGGATCCGGATCCAAACTTCTTTCATACCTCCAAAGGAGGGGTGAAAAAACAGAGGGACGGCTAACAGAGAGAAAAGGCATATGTATATATATATTCACGCAAATGCAAGCAGCCTTTGGGAGCTGCTGAAGACCTGCATCCCCCTTTTGGTATCCCCACCCCCATGCCCATGCTCATCCTTGTCCTCCATCCTGGGAAGCTCCTGGTACGTAGCTTTATGGCGCATTTGCCGCATAACAAAATTTACACCCACCGGGAGCGGGAGCCGTCGACGCGTCGGTGCACTCAATGGGGCTGCCCTTTGTGCCCGTGGTCCTTCGCGCCGGATCGAGCCATATCCACTAGGTCGCCGGTTTCGTCGCCACTCGATAACAGAATTTGCTCAATAATGAATTTAAGCAGGAAATGCATTTTGCCAAAGCCATCTGAGCGACAGGGCTTATTCGGTAGGTAAATATATTCCAAGGACTGGTTGTTGTTGAAAGGAGTTGGCAAGGGAATCCATAACAAAAACCATTACTTGAGTATCCTTATTTTTACTAATCTTGGTTGTTGCTGTTGTTTTTGAGTAGGATCGAAATGGGCCAAATAAATAAAATAATATTTAAGAGCTAATAAAAAATGAAGACAAGAAGTGGGACTTATTTAACAAAAAAAGGTAAGGGGAGTGTATTGCTTTAATAATTGCATAATTGCTTTGGATGTATTAATTTTAAAATGTCAAAATAATTTTTTTCGAATTTGTAAAGGGGTTTATTAATATCTTAAGGGCTTGCTACATATTTTAATCTACGTAATTTATGTTTAAGTTCTTGGAGGACTTTTTGCTAAGCAGGTTATTTAAATGTATGCTGTATAAACAACGCTTATTTATTATCCTTCGAGTTAGGGACAATCCATCTTAGGAAAACTCCGAAAACACTTTCTTCTTCCCATCCAGCAGAGTATTCCATGTGCTGTATTTCTGAACATTTTTCACCCGATCCGGCTGTGTTTATGCCTGCTTATGTCGTTTGGCTTACTTACATTTGCCGCGGCTTTGTGCTGCATAAATTTTCAGTGCCACGCCCCCGTGAAGCAACACCGCGCCCCCTGTTATCCCACGCCCCCTGTTAACCCACGCCCATTGCAAAAACCAACCCCCCCTCCCCTGGTAAAACTACGTGGCTCTTTTGTGCTAACTGCCAACTTTTATTTGCTGCCTTTTCACATAATGAGGCAATTTTGCAGTTTGTTTTGTGGGGACTTTTCACTTGTTACTCTTCCATTTAATAAGCCAAAGGCAATGGCAGGTGCCGTAAGCTGCCGTAACTCCCCTGGTTTTGGACCTAATGCAACATTTTGTATGCGCGCAGGATAAATCCCGTGCAGATCCCCGATATTGGTCGCATATGCAAATGGTATACATATATGGCGAATGGCTGGCTGCAGCGCAGGTAATTATGCGCATAAATAACTCCGATTGTTTGGCTGCAAGAGAGACTGCAGACCGAGAGACCTCAAGTAATGCCCAAGATTGGTCAGATGGGTGTTACCCGTTTATTGGGGGGCATTTGGGTTGGGGGTATCTGGGGGTATTCTGGGTCGCCAGGATATCCTGCGGATGCTCCAGCGGTTTCCCCCCTCCCAAACGAACGGCAGGCGTGGCTCATGCATAAGCATAACCATCGCCCATTCCGAATCGATGTGGCATGCAACAGCTGCTCGCTTACAACACTTCGGATTGCCATGGTCCATGCATTTTAATTGTGCAACCCCGGAAAAAAAATATATAGTGGAACGCCTGCACCCAAAGAAATGGTGTCCCTAACTCTTGGTTAGGCTTTAAGTGTTTTTTCTATGAGAAAGTTATGTTTTGATTTTTTAAAAATAATATAAAGTTGAAAATTTGATCATAAAATATAATAAATAGGAATACACCAAACCATTGTTCAGAAAAAAAAGTAATTGGAACTTTCTTAGAACTTTTTTTAGTTCTACAAATTCATACAAGATCCTAGTTTAAAGGATAACCATCTTTTAGATTTGCTTTAAGCAACAAAAATGTATTTAAACAAGACCATATTATATGCCATATTATAATATATACCGGAATATCCCGATTGTATAACGATTATATGCAGGTATACTTTTAAAACAGATCTTAAAGGCGTAACAAAAATATATATTTAAATTGTTAGCTAAAGAAGTAAACTCTTAGTTAATGGCAGGAAAAATATTACAACATTTTATTTTTAGCGTATGTAAAGGGCTTTTGGTATGTAACACATTTTAAAAAATTAAACATTTTTCCTTTGCTATTTCTTTATGTTGTTTTGTGGGTTCCAAAGCCCTATTTTCGGAGTGTGTGAAGACTTAAAAATGGTATGCCACCACACGCATCGCAAATGGGGGCAAAGGGACTCCGGTGGAGGATCTACCCAGTAAGTTGCACTGTAGGGGCAAAGTTTTGTGCCATGATTAAAACGAAACCTCACCAAAGTTGCCACCGCTGACAATTTTAATGCAAACAAAAACTTGCTTTTCTCTTCTTCGGAACACTGACAGCGGCAACCAAGAAGAAGGCCAACTTATTTCTGCATGCCTGGGTTTTTTTTTAACAAAAACCCTATCCCTCCTCTTTTCCACACCATTAATGCAAATTGACGGGGGGGATACAAGTCGCTACAGGTGCCAGATCCGTTCAGGTAGTTTTCTCGTTGGCCAGGACTCTTTGGGTTTTTTGGGGGGTTCGGGAAAAACTTCTGGCAATTCACGCGGACATTTGCGGCTTTTCTGCCGCCGAAAGCAATTGCATTTTGGTAATTGAACAAGTCAACGCTTAATTACAATGCACTACAGTAAAACACCATAACTGTCTGCGGCATTGAGTGAAAATCCAGCCGGCAATTTCCATTCAACGAAAGCGAAATAATTTCCATTTGAAATGCGCAAAAATGAGCATTTGTTTTCCTTTTTCGTACGAATTTCAACCCTTTTTTTCAAGCCCACCCGCTGTTGTTTTCGCCTGTTTTTGTTTGAAACGTTTTAATTGACGGCTCATTTTGTCTTGCTGCAGACATCTCATTGGAAAACATGGGTGTAGTGGCTAAAAAAAAAACTGTTCAACAAGGAGTTGCTTAATATAAAATACAGTAAAATGTAGAAAAATTTAAAATAAATTCAATTTAATAGACATCAGTTATTTTTTAACATCTATATAGACTCAAAATCATTTTATTGGTGTAATATCAGTCCTCAAAATTCTGTCTACATTTATTCTTTAAAACCCCTTTCCTAATTTTGTATAGCAGGCAACACAAAAAAGTTCTCACTACACCCATAACAAATTTTAAAAAACTTATATAGTCCATTAAAATGAGGTATTTCCTAACATCTTTATATTCTTAAATTTCTTTAAATGGTGTTATATCAGGCTTGAGAATTTTATCTTCCTTTATCTCCCAAAACCAAATTCTTAATTTTATTTGACAGCCAACAAAAAAGTTCTCACTAAACCCCTTTCGGTGGCGAAACAATTCAGCAATTTATCGATTAAGCTGCACAAACGGACAAAAAAGCGCTGTGAAAATGACTTAAAGCAATACCATGGGACAGTGGATTGTTAAAAACTGATCTATATGCTTGGTTATTGAGCAAGTTTGGCTGTGGCTGTCGATGGCTCAAAGCCTTCAGCGGAAAAATGTATGGCCAAAACCAAACCAAACAGACCAGAAGGGGGGAAGGGGGGTAGCCGAAAACAGATAGCGGCAGTAGACACTTGATAGGTTTTTTGCGAGACCCCCCCTCCCGCTTTCGAACTGCTCCCCACACACTATTGGCCATAAATCAATTTTTCAAAAATGACACTGGGAAATGGAAAAAGTAAGCTCAAAGCTGGGCGAATATTGAAAGCGTCCGCTTGCCCCGATATAAACCGATACTCTCCCATGGATTGTCAGACGTACAAAATATATGCATGCATGCTTACATCTATATCACTCATATACCATATATGTATATATATATCTATATATTAATAAAAAATGTATGCTTGGTCCTAGCATTTTTTGGGCATCCTAGAAGCTCTGGTATTTTTTATGCTATCGCCTATGTTGGGTTTTTCTTTTTTTCCCTTTTCTATTTCGTTTTATTTTTTCTGGCTTTGCAAATCTTTGCAGCTGGCGTTGAAAGTTTGTCATCATAAATTTTAATATTATTTTCGTTGCGAATGCAACAGGAGTTGGGTGCAAAAGGAAGCGTTTTGCGAAGCGAGGCAAAACTTGTCAAAAGAAGCTGAATCCATAGTTCGGCAAGTGGGGAAATGAGCACATTAATAGGGAAAGGGGTGCCAACCCAAACCGCTGGGGAATTTCCAAAAAAAAAACAAAAAAAAAACTCAGTGCAGCACACGCGGCGTATGCGCAATGCAGCAGCTTTGGATTCGAACAGATTTTTGGGAGAAAGGGCTTTCGGTAACATCTGGGCGGCTGGCCGGAAGCCCATATTCCCCAGCATGTGTGAACCGAATGTTGATGAGTGCCATCTAGTGAATGCATATGAATGAATTACAGCCCGCAGCCCCTCGCTTCTCCCTTTCTGATTTTTGCCGATCCCCCGGATTTCTAGCCTGGTTTTGGCCTTTGAAAGCGGCTGAATGAAGCCGCCTGGCTTTGGCGGCATGAATTGCATGCAAAAGATTGTTTTGCATAGATGAGTGAAATCACCGGGTGCATTTATTGGACCCTCATACCCAGAACCGATGTATCCTAGTACCTGGTGACAGCAAACGAAATTGACATTGATTGGTCCTGGATCCTGAGCCCCAAAGGACTAATGACAAAGAATCAAGGGGGAGCTCAATTATTCTCGTTTTCCCTGTGCGCTTGACTTCTTTTGGTTGAATGCAATCAGTTTGTCAGTTGTTGGTTTGCTATTGCAAAAATATTTCGGGTTTTTTAATTGCAAATATATGTTTTCAGGCATACAAATCGAAGAACTAGAGAATATTTTGTCAACTTATTTTATTCAAAGATTAATTAAAAGCAGCGGTAGGCGATGACTGTTGTTTCACACTGTTTGTGTGGCGGCAGAGCCCAAGCTAAGCTTTTCCCTAAGCACGAAAGCTGATTTAAAACAAAGTATTACAACTCCATTAATTTATTGTGTGAGTAACTTGCAAGTGATTTCTATACTGTTTGTGTGGCGGCAGAGACTGAGCAGAGCTTTAATAGGAAGCTGCCGAACGCTGATTTAAGGCAAAGTATTACCAACAACATTCATTAGTTATGTGAGTACCTTGCAAGTGATTTTCACACTGTTTGTGTGGCGGCAGAGAATAAGCAAAGCTTAAATAGAAAGCTGCAGAACGCTTATTTAATACAAAGTATTAAAAATCCATTAATTAGATGTGTGAGAACCTTTCAAGTGATTTTCACACTGTATGTGTGGCGGCAGATACCAACCAGAGCTTGGCAGAACTCTGATTTAAGTCAAAGTATTAAATTTCCATTATTTAGACAAACAACCATGACTAAACTAGAATAGTCTTAGCTCAAACGGAACATTATTTTAATTAGTTACCCATCATTAGGTATTATTTCAGAGTGTTTCTCAAGAGCAAATAGCTAAAAGGCCTCACGTCTAAATTAATCAAATTCTGTGCACATTCGAAAATGGCCTGCAAGTATGGTAATTATTAGCTCGGATCCAATATGCATATGATTTTATGCTCTTAGATTTCAGACTGATTACCGGACATTGGCCGGCTACTGGATTTTGTTTAATATTCACCGAAAATTATTCGAGCAAAACTGTAGAAGCCAAGCCGCCCGGCAGGCGAATAAAGACTTTCGAAGTCAAGCGAGACGTGAACTGAATATGAAAAGCCAAGGGTTTAAGCCTTTAAGTGATGTGGCAAGGTCGATTGGAGAGTGGCTGAGGAGATTTTGGGGGTGGTGGTGGGATTATGAAAAGTGGGTGGAGGAACTGAGAGTGGAACTTCTCCTTGGGCTCATTTGCATGCTGTGATTAAGTGACCGGGTCATAAATGCACTTGGGCAATGGGCAATACTCGAGCATTTCGGCTCGACGTCGCCAAGGCAACCATAATGCCTGCCACTTAATTATTACTTAGTCTTTATTAACATGGCTCACAGCTTTTACTGGCCTCTCGCTCCCGATTAAAGCCATCAGCGGAGCGTGCAGTTTGGATTTCATTTTGGGGGGTTTTTGGGTATAAAATGGGCTTTATTTCGAGGTAATTGCAAATTGTTGCCATCGTCTTATGCGCCTGCGTTTTTGTTTGTCAATTTGCGTACTTAAAAAATTCTTTTATATAAACACAGAGACACAGAGCGGCGAAGACGACGCACTCACAACTCGTTGTCAGTGTAACGAGCCATATGTGTTGTGCACATAATAATTACGCAATTGGCAGGAATTCCCCTTCTGCTTTTCCCCTTCCCCCAGCCATTTTAGCCTGACTCCGAGTCGAGTGTGTCATCAAATTAGTTTTAATTATATATTATATTCGTTTTGCACACATTTCGGCATTAGCAGGAAGCCCGCGCTCCACTGGGGTCTCCAGTGCGTATGCTTGATATTTGCCATGGCAATCGATTTGTATGCCCGGCAGCACTCCGCCAGTCGTTCTTGTTTAAACAATTTCCCCGCTCATTGGCTTTAGGGCCATCAACAATTGCGGGGGATGTGTGATGTGGTTCTGGAAACCTGTACCAGATATCTAATATGCATGGCAGTCGGAGAAAGGAAAGTAAGCGCGTCAAGTGAATAGTAAGTACAGAGTGAGAAAATGCCAACTGAATAAGTCATGAATAAGGAATTTTATCAAATGAAATAGGTAATTATGGCTATGACCATGCTAACTTATTTTAAAAATATTACTTCATGGTTAGTTCGTATTGGTTATGAGTCAGTTTCTTATAGATGAAAGAACTATCTTTAAAATATAACATCACATACATTATTTAAAAAGTTGTATCTATGTCTATCTATATTATAAAGATATATTAGGTTAATATTCAGAACTGATTAAATTATTCACATTTATATCTACAATCCAAAGAAGTATTTAAAAAATTGTAGAACCTTAAATACCATGTTTTGTTTAAAATAAAGGAACCCCTTCAAAATGAGGGTCCTTTTATATTTATGTTATATGTAAATTTTATAGCACATTGATTATTTTCCCTCAGTGTAGCATTGTAACGACGACATCGACACTCTGGCGGTGGTTGCCTCGGTTTCGGTGTGAGTTTTTGGGTTAGTTAGGGTTTCAGTTTCAGCCACAGATTTGTCTCGGCATGCAAATTCCCATTTTTCACCATCAGACCCACCTTTGGCTTATCTTATCGTCGTGCGCATATGTATGCTTGTAAATTTGTGCCCGTGTTGGGCGTAATTAAATTGAAATTCTCAAGTGCTCGTTGTATTTTTCGGTGGCACTTGATTTGACACTTCAGCACTGTGAATTTTAGTTTCACTTCCACCTGTTGAGTTTTCTTTAGTACTTCACGGTTCGACCTTGAATTATGCGATCAGTTTTTTTTTTTACTTTTTGCCATAACTAGACTTCCAGTCAAGAGAGTCGCGTCATATTTGCTGTTATTATTATTAACCAAAAGCGTCGAAAGCAACTGACTGCGGACTACGCATGAGACTCGAGACCCGAGCACCCAAGAATCTACAAAGCTGCGATCGGAGCGTTAGAAAAGCTCGCTCTTTGTACCACCTAGCTGGGCTTTTAGCTCTACGATTTCTGGTAGTAAGAGAAAAAAGAGAGTACCAGGTGATTCACAGCTGATAGGGGACTTGGTTTATGAGTGTCAATTGCGTGTGGTATGTACAGTGAAATTAAAACGGTAAGATAAGGAATGGGAATTTAATAAAAAATCATATTTATTAAGAAAGAATTTACTAAGATATGGTTTTGCAATTACACATTGACTAGAAAAATTTTTAAAAAACGTCAAAGATCAATATTGTTTTTAAATCACTTTAGGTGTCTAAAAGTATGCAACACTATATATGAAACTCAGAGGTACAATGAGTTACTTAAGTAAGTCAAGTAACCTTTATTTACTGCCTACTTTTAGGCACCTAAAAGTGGCATTTTAAAAGTGAGTTCAAAACTTTACAATAACACATTGATTTTAAAATATTTATATAATGTCATATTGAAAAACACTATTGTTTTCAAATCACTTAAGGTGTCTAAAAGTATACAACAATATATTTGGAACTCAGAAGTACAATAAATTATATAAGTAAACCGATTATCCTTTATTGTATCCTACTTATAGGAACATAAAATTACATTTAAGGGTAAACCATAGTGATTTTTCTGGCACACCTCTTTTGATTTACAATTCAAAACTTAGTTTTTTCGTACTGCTAAATTCGAGTCGCTTAGACAATAAACATTGTAATTCAGTACCTATTGCATATGCACAATCAAATTCAATCAAATCCGCCCTTTGACACCGCAGTACCTGCTCCCTTTTCCCTTTGTGTACAAATATCCGAGTGTAGGGCTATTAAAAAGCACTTTCTTATCAATGCAGGAAAAGGCAAACCGAATGAAGCCCCGTTGCAGGCGAAAGGTGCAAAGGAAACCGAACAATGACGGAAAACGTTGCCAGCCAGCAGCTCAGGAGTTGAGCAACAGCACCACCCAATCGCCACCCCACCACCACCCACTAAGCTGAAAAGGAGCCGCCGAACCACCCAACCACCCACCGAATGGCTTGGCTGAGCGTCAAGTGTCATAAAAAAATAGGAACAACACTTGCAAGCCAAAAACTAAAGTGCACGAGTTGCCCGGCCATGTGGTTCTTCACACACCATCCACCTTTCCAGTCAACTTTCACCGCCCAACCACCCAACCACCCACCGCCCCATTCACCGTTCACCACACTCTCCTATTACTACTAGATCCATTTTCGCTCATCTTTCAAAGGCGTACTGTTGCGTTCGTATTTGTGGTGCCTGCAGGCGGAGAAAATATTATAATATCGGTGTTCTTTATAACATTTGTGGTGTTCAAGTTGTATTGCGACTTTATTGGTAAATTTAAGTTTCCTTAAATGGTTGAGATGTGAGTATGCATTAGAGGAAATGCACTACAACATAAACTGGTAGATTTTAAATAAAGATATTTTAATCTAATTATGATAACAATTATAATACTTATGTATAAATAAGCATACCATTACCATAAGAAACTATACCATTTTATAAGTTATGGTTCAATGGTGAGGGGTCCCTAAAGACGAGAAACCTTCAAATAGAGATATGCTCCAATTTGCAATATTTGTATATTATAGACATTAAGAATTTTCGTTACATAAAAAATAATACTTCTAAAAATGAACGATAAATTATGGAAACTTATAGAATAGAATAGTATTACTATAATAGTAAAAATAAGATTTGGTAAGTTTCCGGTAAGTTTTTGTTTAAAAAAATGTAAAACTTTTAATCTATTGCTTGTTACATAAAAAATAATAATTCTAATAATTATTATTATTAATTATAATTAACAATAATAAAATAAGATATGGTATGTCTTCGGGTAAGATTTTTTTATTCGTATTATGTTATTCAAATTAAATTAAAAAAAAAAGAAAACTTTTAACATATTGCTTGTTACATAAAAAATATTATGTACAGTATTTAACAATAAATTCTGGAAACTATTAAAATATAATAATTAGAATAAGAATATTTTAATAAAAAACTAGGGACAAGCAATGGTAAGTTTTAAGGTATGTTTTTCTTATCAATTTTATGTGATTCAAAAGCCATTAAAAAAAATTTGCAACTTTTGTTTGAAATTATTTTTAATAAATAAACGTTTTAATAACATTGGCTAAATTGAACTATCAAGACAGGAAAACCTTTATCGTTTCTTTAGCTAATCAATATGAATGATTTTCTCGCAGTGCTTAACAGCGGGCATATGGGTAGTTGCAAAGAAATACAAAAGAAAATATTTACAAAACTTCCATTTCCGCTTTATGTGGGCAGTGTTCGCAGGCGAAGAAGAAGCGGTAGCCGCGCGGGGAAATTGAAAAAAGATAGTTTCACATAAACCCTTGGGCATTTGAACCCGCCAACCAACTCCCCCTCCCCCTAGAAACTAGAATACAAACACAAAGGCAGAGCTTGCAGGTGAGCATTCCGCTATTTTGCTTTTGGGCGACGGAAGTGAGCATTGTTAAAGTTTTGCAGGTAAATCAAATGATAAAATGAAGATGTAGGAAAGTCCAGCAGTGCAACAACAACAAAAGCAACAACAGCTGATAGCAACAGTTTTGGGACAACTCAAAGGTTGTGAGCTTTTCACCACAGCAGCGACGCCTGCGCCCAAAAGTCACTCAATTTTGAGTGCTTTTCCTTTGTTGTTTACCTTTTTCCGCCTGCAAGGTTATAACGGTTGTTATCGTTCAACGTTGCCTACTTTTCAGTTCTCCATGTGGCTCTCTATTATCACAGTCTGCTTTTAGGCTGAACTTAACCCTTAGCTATGCCTTGCAAGCTTTTCTCGCCCCCATTTGTCTGAGTAATATTTTACGCTTATCAATTAATGGATATTTAATCGTGCGAATAGTTCGACATTGTGAAGTGCTGGCTTTCTTGACACTTTATTTATACGCCTTCTTTAGCAAAGCCCTGCGGCTTGAGCCATAAATTTTCCTATCGCCACTCGATCAAAATAGCTGTCCAATAGACCATAATTAATTTGTTGAAATGACAAAAATTTCGCACCACTTTGCGGATCAATTATCAAGTGCTTGTGAATTGTAATAGTCAATAAAAAATTGTATATTTTCACAACTAATGGCAGTCTGACGTAGGCAGCTGTCGGAAAATGCCAAAATTGGAAAGTCCGGTCTAGCTGGAAAGCTTTTTCGTTTGCCGTTATCAATTGTACCTCTCCCCCAAAAATACACACCCATATGCAGACTGGCTTTAATCATTTTTTGTCGCAATTGTACGCAATAAATTTTCAAGTATAAACCCGCAATCAAAATTATTCGACATGTAGACGTTGGTAAAAATTATGACCGTGCGATCAGCTCTCATCGAGTGTCGCATTGGTTCTTAACCGATCGATCGATCGATTGTCGCCCCTCATTTCAAATGCAAATCAATCAATTAGAGCGTCGGAGCCCGTTAATTTGCATTGCGTGAATTGTTGGGCAAATATTGCCTTTTCCAGCCAGTGCTGTTTATTTTTAGATAAAAAATCAAACGCAATGATATTAATAGATAAGGCAACCATCCAGTGGGGGGTCCGAAACGTGTCCCTGCAAAGGGTTAAAGGCAGCCTGCTGGAGAGAGAGAGAGAGAGAGCGAGGAGAGATTTAAGCCTCCTTTCGAGAGAGTGAGAGCGATCTCCATGGAGGAGGGTGGCACAGTGGGCAAAACAAACAGTTAGTGAATACTTTTCATATTAAAGGAATGTTTTGTACATATATAATAAAAATATCGATTAGGTTATGTTAATTGGAAAAGTGGCCTTGTCATATATTCTTAAGTTGATTGTACTTTTAGCATATGTCTGCCATTGAGACAGTATATAAATTTCGTAGCCGACTAAGTGAATATTTCGGTCTGTTGTTATACCAATAGTTTAGGAAACTCGTTACTTAGCTACAAAAACTTTAATCTAAAAACATATTTAAAAATACAAGGAAACCCCAAGTTGGTAGTAACGGTTTATTGAACATCATATATTGATTTTAAGAAGGTTCTTCAGGCTTAGGCATACCCATTGATTACCAGGGATTAATCCCACTGTGCGGCGAGAGCGATCGGTGGTGAGGGTGGGCGCTCTGCTCTCTCTTTCCAGCCCAGCTGTTGCGGCTCTTTCTCTCTCGGCGGCGCGGCATTCGCGTTTGCGTTTTCGATCGCTCCGGTTAAAAACGTGCTGCGACAGGAACTGTAAATCATTACGCTCGGAAACGTGCTGCTGCTCGCACAGAAAAACCGAAACCGAAAACTGCGGATAAAAGGTGGAATATTGGGCTTGACAAGTTCAAGTTTGCCACAAAACACAGAAAGTCGTAAAACGTTGAGGAAATACAAGATAAAAAGTAAAAAGTATAAAAAACAAAGGTTCCACCACCGCGCGCGCACGCAACTAAAACAACAAAGAAACGGCCGCGTTGTTATTGTTGCTCTTTCCTGCCAATTTTCGTGTGTGCCTTGTGCCTTTCCCTTTATCGTCTGTTGTTTTTATCGACGCGTTCGTTCTCGTGTTCTTTCCTTTTCCAGCCAGTGCGTGTGTGTGTGTGTCTTTCGCCCCCAAAAATATATCTCTCTCGCTCTCTCTGCGTTCGATTTGTTTGTTGTTACCCCCGCGGAAAAAAATTGCAAATAAGAAACATAAAAATTAAATTACAAAAAAAACAGGAAACTGACCCCGCCAGATCAAAATCGTAAAAAACCCTTTATGCTAATCAATGAGCTGTGTCTGAGGCACAGCGGAAAATTTTCAAATTTCGCAAAGCGGCGACGTCATCAGTGGTCGCTATTGTTGTTGTTGTTGGCGCCCGTGGCCGAGTAAAAGGTAAAAAACAAGTAAAAGAATACTTCAAGTACGTGTCAATTATAAAATTCATTTTGGTC